ATAGAACCCTGAACAGAACTCTGCAATATGCTAACCCTTATTAGAGAACACCAACACCTCTTACAGGAGGCTTGTTCAAAGACAGCTCAAACCATGGGCGAGGCGCTCGGTCGTTCGAATTTTTCCAGTCAGCGAACAAAGTGCAGGATCTGAAGTTGTACAAGAGTGATCAACTGCTATGCTAGATGTTGCTGGTTTCTGCCGATCATGGCATGTGATCAAAATCTGTACACACTTACTGCTGGCACAAGGGACTCATCTCGTAGCCTTCCCTAAGCCAAACACCAAACGCATTGCAAGCTTCTCCACACTCTGAAGCTCTAATTATTGCTTCCATCACTCCTCCTTGGACCGGCCGCTCGGTCAGGGCCACGCGCACTCTGCCCGGAGGTCACAAGAGTGGTGTTGAAAACCCTCTCGTACTCTCTTGCACGCTCCAGATCACGACCGTAATCTGCCGACTTATCTGGGTCCTCAGCAGATCTTGCAAGACAGTATTGGCATAGTCTACGACGCTCAACTCGATCTCGTGTGCCCCTATGTCTGAAAGCATGACAGTCACTGTACACATGATAACAGTCATTGGCTGGCACAATAAACGTCTCCTCCGCAGGCTCATGCACATACCGCAAAACCACACGCACACCTGGATTCTGCACCGGAGAGAATGCCGCCGTCTGCACAGACTGGTCATGGGTCTCTTTCACGCCCTTTGCCAGCTTTCTTAACAGCTCAATCCTCTCATCTCGGTGAACATCCGGCTCGCGATCTTGTCGAACAGGCTGCCTAGGTGGTCCTGGCTTCTGGGTAGAAGGCGCTCTCACGGAGTCTTGCCCTCTCTGTTCAGCTCTCCCACCACTTCGCTCAACGATCTCTTTCTGAATTGCTTCAGTTGTTGCGTCCCTGAGCTTTTGTAGCCTCCTCAAACGCCTTGCTCTTGAGCCCGGCGATGCCCGATCATACACCGTCCAAGCCGCCCACTTCACAAGCTCCCAGCCAAGCAAGCCCAGCAGAATAAGCACCCAAAAGCACATCCAGCTTATCAGTCCATAGTCTACAGATACATTGCTCCCATAGACAACGACTTGATCATCTCGAACAGCTTCTCCAGTTGTAGCTTGCGACAGAATTAGGAGAGCAATTAACACCTTAGGGATCGGGTTAGGGTGGTTGCTGGCTGCTTGGCTTCTGCGACTGCTGGTGCTGTGATCTCCTTCAGGCTCTCCACACGTAGCCTCAATCGTACACAACGACTCCATCTCATCGACCAGCCCGATCAAGCAGCTCAGAGCCTTCAACTTCGCCGACGATAAAGGCTTCGTCAACATGTCTGCAGGCTGAACCTCTCCACTGCAATGGCTGAGCTCGACCACGTTCTTCGAGATCAGCTCCCCAATCCATGAACTCTTCAGACGAAGATGCCTTGTTCTCCAACTGCACGAGCCATGAGCAATAGCCAGCGCCGACGTACTGTCTGAGAGCATCTGCATTTGAAAAACACCCGCACCGATGTCCTGCAAAACTACTTGAATGCCCTGCAAGGCTACTAAACCTTCGACTGCTGCCTCAAGCTCTGCTTCCGCTGTACTCAGGCTAATACAGGATTGCCTTCACGAACGCCACGCAATAACATTCCCAGCCAAATGAATAATCCATCCAGTGTGGGACTTATTTGCATCAGGGGCGAACGATGCATCCACGAACCCCGTCAAGTAGGGCGACCTTCCTTCATAAATCAGGCTTCTCCCGATCGTCCTCTGAAGGTAGGCCAAGGTCTTTTCGCCTATTTCGATTGCCCGTCTAGGAGCCCGTGTTGCCAGCGATCCAACAAGAGAGCACGCAAAGGCAATGTCAGGTCTTGTACGTTGGCTCACCCATAAAGCCATAAAAGTTCGCCTGCTATCTGCTGCGCCTCCCGGACCTCAGACTCGCTACCCGGCTCTTCCCCCTCAGCTGCATTGAAACTTGCTTGCTCCTTGGCCAAAGGAATCAAATCCCTCCTCCTCGCCGAAGTCTCATGCAGCCTCAACAGCTCCTCGATGTAGGACCTCTGGGACAACGCAAAACCTTGACTGGTCCTCGAGATTTCAATGCCCAGGAACCTCACGCCCCCTTCGGTCACAAGCTGTGGCGGGCTTGTTTTCCAAATCTCCTTGATCGCTGGCGCCAGCTCCTTGATCATCTCCGTCCGGCCGCACAACAAAAGGTCATCAACATAGACCACCACTCCTGCAACACGGACCACCACGAAGGCTCTACGCGTCCTTGAAGCAAAGTGATCCGTTTGCCATCCACAACCAACTGCACCTGAGCCAGCCTCATATCGCGATACATTCCCCAGAGCTTCGGACTCTCTTGCAGTCCGTAGACTGCATGGGTCAATCTCCAGAGTTCACCTGGTCGACAAAGCCCTGCCTTCACAAGCACCTATGGCGGAACACCGTACACAAGAGGCGCACCTTTCACCGCGGCCAAGGGCGTCTGAAGGAACGCCGCCACGACGTCAATCAGCCCCAAGTTCCAACTGAAGAACTGAGCCAATGCAATGGCCGCTCGCACGATCTCTGCCGGCGCTGTGCTTGCATAGACTTCACCCGCTTGATGCGATGCCATATTTCCGCAGATCACAATCCTGGACTTTCTCTTGTAGAGGCTCGGAGACTCATTGTTCTCGGTGGGTGGATCTGGGGGCTTGACGGTGTACACGACCTTCATCGGGATTAACTGCCCTTTGCCGGACTCCAGGTCTCGCTTCACGTCCTGATCAGTCGACATCACCTTATCAACCGCATGGTCCAACGAAAAAATTTCCTTTGTCAGCGATGGGACCCATTTTTCAAACACTTCAGAAACCTCCCTGGGATTCACGGTGTAGACAACCGACAAGGGTGCAGTCAAACTCTGCAGAATGGCTTCAACCCCATCAGTGTAGGCTACCTCCGCCTTCTTTATCGCTGGAATCCGTTCATCACCACGAGGTAGAACAGCGGTTCGTAGGTCGTCATCCTCGCCTTCAAGGACCAAGTGCATTTCCCAGTCATCCCAGTTTTCACTAGGTATGGATTCTGGACTCCGCGAAGACGTAGCTGAGGTGTGAAGGGCGGCAACCTTTGGGACACACGATTTCTTAGAGATTGTCCAATCGCACTTGAACAGGTACTCCCCATCAGAAGTTGCTATCACCTCCTGCCACCCGCCACCACGGACAGGAACAGTCTCCTCCTCAACTTGCTTCTGAAGCTTCCGCGAAGACACCGACAGGGCATTGATGTAGACCTCCGGCAAACTCTCTCCATCTTCCAACGGCAAAGGAAAACCCAAGTCCCAGAGCAACTCCCGGTCACCACGAGGTACTGCAGCGAGCCTCCCTGGAGTGTATCCCACAATCACAATGCGCTCGCCCTTCCAAGGTAACACAGCATGACGACGGTGTGGGTCAAACGAGAAAATGGTTCCCTCCTGCAGTGGAAAAGCGCATCCATATCTTGCTCTGCCCTCATGAGACAAAAGCTCGATGATTTTTCCAGACACGACATCTCCATCTCGGAGCTCCATCCACAACTCGCCACCTCTCCTTGGCATAGCCAATGGAAGCAAATAGTTTTCTGCTCCCAGCGCGTTGTTCCGGTCAATGTGGACTTCCCGCTCATTGTTCAAGGAAACAAACACCGCCGCAAACTCTGCATCTGGTCCCCGATCCTTCAAGACCCGAGTTAGCAACTTCGCATACCAGGGTCTTTCTACAGTCGCCTTGGTCACACCCAGCTGCCCTCCATGTCTAAACATGCCATATATCCGTTCGTTTTCCGGTAGAACTCGCGCTACCTCACGGACCAACTCATCCGCCTCCTCCTGGGACCAATCTCGTAGTAGACGCTCAGCTCGCTCACGAAAAACTCCCTCTTCGATGAGCTCTGCTTTGGCCACACCCACCACATCACCAGATCCAGCAGATTTGCCCCGCAGACGACGATCAGGTGGGAGAGGTAGGTCAGCAACTACTTCTTCAGCGACTGGGCCTGGATCATGCAATCCCGCGCGAACATGGAGAGTATGAACAAACCGCTCGCCATCATCGTCCTTGATGTAAACCAGGTGGCCTTTACTCAAGCTGTCCGACAGCCCGATGTACTTCCCTTGTAGCCATCTAGGAGCTAGGTCGTCAAGTTTAGGGCCATCAAGGTGTCGTTTCCTCACAATGACCTTCGACCCATACGGTGCTGCAAGCTTCGGCTCGAAACCCAACACGTCTCCACGTTGCATTGAAGCCGCCGTTGCCATAGCCGACGGCCACAGGTGCTGAGGTAGATCTGCAGATAGTAGCAACGTCCTCGCCCTCTGCTTAAGCCATCGTATTGTGGACTCGGCAGTCCCATTGGTTTGGTGGACTCCCGCCTCGGATGTTGTAGTCCGAATGTCCTCGGCCCTTGTTCTTCAACCACTGACGAGTGCCCCGCGCTCTGAACTCCATACCGCGGTCTGTGTGAAAACATAGCACAGGAATGTTCAACGATCTGCAGTAGAGCACTACGTCCTGGATCGCCTCAAGCACCGTGGTAGCCTTGTCGTCCTTTAAGCCGCATGCGAAGATGAGGTTCACAAGCTCTGGGCCCGCTAGGTCCAAATCCTCGTCAGGATCGCGCCGAGGAACTTCCTTCATCTCCGGCTCCTCCTCCACATCGGCGTCTTCTTCAAGCGCCTTAGCAGGTTCACTCGCTCCTCCCTCCGGGACCAAGCCATCATCGACCTCTTCGTAGTTGCCCTCATCGAGCTCCCCGGGATCATAGTCAACCCATGCTCCACGGCCGTCCTCCACAAAGGTTTTAGGGACTCGCAACTTTGCCGCAAAGATGTACTTGAACGGCTTTGGGAACGCACCACGGCCATCTGGGTCTACACCCCCAATCTTCACAGGTCCAGACAGGTCTGCTGAGAGCACGAACGCCGAAGGATGTTCAACACGCGAGTGCCGCCGTCCTGTGCCTCCAGCTTGGACGCACACCGAGCAGTCAGCTCTGAAAGGCAAATGGCCTCGCCGAACATGTTCCCTCCATTGATCCGCGCTCATCTTCAGCATGCGTGGGATCTTTCCCCACTCCCTGAGCGCGATGGTGACATGCTCCACAAACTCCTGGGGCCACACACATGGTGGACACCTCTCCGGAACCATCAGCATGCCACCTCGAGCGCAGCCCATTTAAATGCCTCAACGACAAATTGGTCCCCAAAGTCGTGAACCTCGTAAAAGCTTTTCCCAGTGCCGCCATGTCAAAACTATAGGTGCTCAGGCCCGCCTCCAATGCACACTCCATCCACAATGGGGTCCTCCACACGCTCACCACGCTCGGGTACAAAGGGTCCTGAAACTTCAAGTAGCCCCGAGGATCTCGTGGATGCTCCATCATGAAGCCAACTGCTTGTCTCACTTCTGGGCTTGGATTGGCCCTCAGTCTGCCGGCAGAAGCTAAAGCATGGAGGTAGATCATCCTCACAATGAGTTGTGTTTCCCGGTTGACAGTCCAAACATCAACATCGGATTGCCCAGGCCAGTTCCCATAAGGATACTCATTTGAGCGAAGAGGTTCTCCTGAGCCCACGTGCCGCGATATCATGAAGGTTCCTTGCGGTGGCCCCCCAATAACAGAGGCAATCTTCCCCTTTCGGGCTCCCCACTCCAGGGCTCTCCACGTACTGGACCGCAATATGTCTTGAGTCCTTCCGCGCTCAATGTCCAACTCGAAGATCACATAGCCGTGGCCCTCCAGGTGCTTGAGATCCGGTTTCTCGCTCTTGCCCGCAAACAAGTGCACAATCCATTGATCAGACGACCACAGCCGCTTCCTGGTCCTTCTATTGAGATGCTCCAACCCACGCAAAGCCTGCCATCCATTCATTTCGGGGTAGGCATCGGCGAGTCCTGCAGTGCATGGTTTCGGAACATCCTGCAAAAACGGAGCAGACTCCACTGCCTTCCAGGCCTCTGAAGCCATCCCGCTGTCGATCGATGTACGAAGTCAAATAATCGAACCAGGTTCTCTCCATTGCCATGGCTGCTGCACGCACTCGCTGCCGTGTCTCTGCAGTGTGGGATCTCAACTCCCTCAATCGAGAGTCCTCCAGCTGCGCAATAAGCTTGAGTGCCTCATGCTCCGTGATCTCGGGACACCCTTCACGAACTCGAAGGTTGATGACATCCCCACTCCGGCTCTCCAGCTTGCACCTTGAAGTTCCCCAGGTCATTGTGTAGCCAAGCTGTCCCACCAACGCACCCAACGGTACTATCGGAGAGGTTGAAGTCGCTGAGGTCAACGAATGGCGGGGAATCAAGATAGTCCCAGCCTCATTCATCTTCAAGTCCACAGTCTCTCCTCCCGCAAGGTTCACCCTAACAGGACTCGCAGCTTCCCATTCTGCCATAGAAGTCGCCTGCCGTAAAGCATGCGTAGCGCCCGAATCCACTAAAGCATAGGCCGATGCACCTTCATCCTGCTGAGGTCCTTGCCGTATGGCCATCACATTGATCGAGGGCGCCTTTGGAGTAGACGGGGTGGCGCCCGCTACCTTTGCTGCCGCCTGGAGAAGGGACTCAAGCGTCCACACCGGCTCGCCCGTCACCACTGTAGCCGCGGCCGTGGGTGACGACTCTCCTTCTGGCTCAACACTCTGCACCTTGGGATTAGTCGTAGGAGGCAGTGTAGTAGAGCTGGTTGTTGCAGGCGCGCCACCCCCAGCCGCACCGCTCTTCGGAGGCGGCTTCTGGGTCTTGGTCGGGCAATCACGTTGTCTATGCTCTTCACTCCCACAAACTAAACATCTGCGCGAACGCTCCTGCTTGCTCATCCCTGACCAATCATGGGCGTATGGACATCGTTGCCCACGACGGCAGCCGCTCTGCTTGGCAAAGTATTTGCAAGGAGGCTTCACAGTCGAACTTGCCGAAGGCGCCGTCGTTGTGGTTGTAGTCATAGCTTTCACACCTGGCGAACTCAACACTCCTTGCGTTCTTGACGAAATCATCGACTCTGCTTCTGCTTGCAAGTGCTGGTGGTACTTCAAGACATCCTGCAAAGACGGCTGTCCATCTATGCGCAAGCTCGAACGAAGACATTCTCACTCACATATCTAGCCGTAGAGGTCGTCAAGGCTCGGGCCAAGATCGTGCCGTCGGGGATCACCATGTTGAGGTCCTTACACCTCTGCACCCAGCGTGGCCACGCCCTCAACCAAAGTAGAGCCTCATCGAGAGAACCCGGTTGAGCTGGATTCTGAAGGTTGCTTAAGACTGCTGCTCGTTCCGAAGCACCTCCAGGCTGGTAGCACGTGTGAAGTCGAAACAACACCATTGGCGCGCTTTGAACAGCACGACGAGCGATCAAGTCTAAGCGGATCGACTCCACCAGACATTGAAGTAGAAGAGAACAGGCTCTCGAATTCACTCGTGTCCACCGCGCTGTCGTAAGCGCCTCATGGCCAACCGGTTCCAGCTGAAGCCGCTCAAGTGGAGTGGCGGCTAGCCAGCGAGAATAAGTATCCTTCACCATCTTCATGACCTCTCCCCACCACCATCCGGATGACGAAGACAAGTCCTGCATCGGGATCACCACTTGCGCCAGCCAATCCTGGAACAGTATTCCCGCTGACACACCCTCGGGACCCGCTAGCGGAGGCAAACTGACAGCATTCGTTTTCACCTGCTCAGGTACATCTTCGCTTTCGCCCTCCTTCTTCAAGGTCTTGGCTTGAAGCTCCTGCAGGCTGGTAATGTTCTTTGTCAACGCCTCCAAGATAGCGGTTGTGGTTGATTCTTCAGCAGTCCTCACACGAGCATCCTCAACCTGCACTGGACCCTGAGTTTTGGGCATAGGGCCTTGTGTCCCAGGCGTAGGAGACGAAGCCCGTCGAGTTTGCAGTTCTTCCCATAGAGCTCCAAGAGGATCTCTCCATGGATCAGGTCGGGGCCGTGCTGCGGAACCGAGATCATCATGGGCTCCTGAAGAATCTCCTCGATCCCTAGCAGCTTGGCCTCCCTGGTCCACGTCACGTCGCTGGCGTCCTGGATGATCCCCATGAAGTTCGCGATTACCATCAGCAGAAGGCACAGGAGCACCCCTATAGGTTCCGGATCAAGTCTCCCTCTTCCAGGAAGATCCCCAGGAGGTAGCGGTCCCTGAGCCCCCATTGCTAACTTTCCATTCTCCCAGTCGCACGCTCTGAAGGAACATTCTGAGCCCTTTTCGCAAGCTCCAACTCCTCCTGAAGCCTCGCATTGGTAGTCTCCGCCAGCTGCAACCTGTCCAAAAGCGAACCCAGTTGACGTTGGACTTCTGCTTGAATTGCTTCTGCCGGAATGCTGCTGCTGCTGGGGGTGTTCTGGTTATGGGGTATTCCATTTCAGGCACAGGTCCACGCGCTCCAGGAGGTCCACGAAGTACACGAGGCTCCAACAATCGCCTGGGTCGAGGGGGCGATGGCAAAGGACTAGGAATCCAGTTCACCGCTGGGGCCTTGAACATGTCCCCCAACTTCGATATCCATCCTGGCCAACCGCCAGGCTGATGGCGCTCACGAAACGCCCCACTTCTCGTTGATCGAGGGGTCGCATAGCCCCCCGCACGCTCATCGCCAGGCAGCTCCGGAATTGCCCCGGACTCCTCTGGTATCCTTGCAGCAAAGCCTACTCCACTTTCCCGCAAAACACCAGGTTCCTGGGTCCCAGCTGCCCTACTGCCCCTCGGGCCATCTTCAGCGGTGATCGTCGTCGCGGGCGCCAGTCCAGGTCCTTGTTCACTGCCGACACCTTTTTCGCATGATCCTCCGCCAACTCCGTTCATCTGCGGGGGATCCGAGACCGTAGGCAATACAGCCCGCGATCCACCCGCTGCGGTTTCCACCTCCCCCTCATCACGAGGGTCCACTGCTTCTCCGCGAAGTTGCGCATCCACCGGTTGGGCGCTCATAACCTAGAGAACACCAACACCTCTTACAGGAGGCTTGTTCAAAGACAGCTCAAACCATGGGCGAGGCGCTCGGTCGTTCGAATTTTTCCAGTCAACGAACAAAGTGCAGGATCTGAAGTTGTACAAGAGTGATCAACTGCTATGCTAGATGTTGCTGGTTTCTGCCGATCATGGCATGTGATCAAAATCTGTACACACTTACTGCTGGCACAAGGGACTCATCTCGTAGCCTTCCCTAAGCCAAACACCAAACGCATTGCAAGCTTCTCCACACTCTGAAGCTCTAATTATTGCTTCCATCACTTATGGCCTACCGGTTATCCAAAGATGCCGGGAAACTGAGATCGGGTTCTCGTGCATCTCTCTCGTCCCCACCCACTTCTCGAAGCGCGCAACCTTTTCGAAAAGGCTGGGTTTAGAAATTAGGGTTTAGGTTTCGCAACCTCAAGAGGCCGGGCTTAGGGGTCTAGGGCTTCGTGTTTTCTAAGAGAACAATGAGGCGACTAAGCTTTAGGACTTTCGGGATTGCCGAAGCTTGTAGTCAGGCTTAGAGTTTTTGCTTTAGGCTGTAAGGTGGAACTTCTCAGGTTGGCGTAGAGGAATGGTGCCCCAATGATAAACCGTTGCTTTGGGTTGCTGTTCATTGCAGTTATAGAGAGGGTGTAGGAGAGCTAGTATAGAAGCCCCATTTGTCAAAAACAAGGCTTTGGTGCATATTATATATACCTAAGGCACCGTACGGACTAATATTGGTACTTTCTTTGTCAGTATTCCGAACAAAAAACCCCGGATCCTGTCGTCGCTTGAGGCGTGGCTTGATTCCGAGAGCAAACATATGTGAAACTATTTATAGCAACTGTAGACCTGCAGCGCAGAATAGCTACAAGTCTCGTGAAGTACAGGCTGTAACCCCCCCGACAGCAGGCAGTCGGATCCTCTTCCTTATCTAGGCTAACGCGAACTAGCGGAACTCGAAACCATGACACAAACCTTGCGTACCCTGTACATGGGAGCTTCGAAAGAGAAGGGAAACGAGTCTTCGTGGTTGACTCCTGCTGAAGACTTAAAACGTCTGAGAAGCTATCATGTACGAAGACCACAATAATAATCAGCACCATGCAATTTAGTTAGATCCGACGGCCTATGTGGTCTGGCCAGGTCCAATATATTTCAGTTATGTAAGACTCTCCAACATTGAAAGATATCCAGAACCACCTTGAACTTATGCAATTTATGTCATTTCGAAAACAGCTGAAACAATGGACCCAGTTTGGGGCGAAGCATCAAAGCGGATTTGCCCTTCGAATGAACCCTGGGTTGAGTGCTGCACATCTTCCTTCGAGAGGAACTCGGTCAAATTTCGGCGTGATAGGTCCTTGGTCCCGATGATGACATCAGCTTACAGCCCAAAAACTATGTACACCCCATACACCTTTATGGGTTTTGACAGGTTTATACATATACAGATTTCATGTAGCGGCCTCAAACCTTAGTGATCATCAGCAGCCCCTATACAGTTAACGTTGCGCTGCCATACCCCAAAACCCTGAACTCTAAACCCTAATCACGAAGGCTCCCATACCCGAAACCCTTTAACTATACCGGAAACACTATCCCCAAAATTCTCCCAAACCCCACAAAACCTGTACCGGGATCTGAGATCTTCGGGGTTGGTGAATCGAATCGCTATGCCTAGCAATAACGGTTTAGGGTTCAGCGGTTTGGGTTTAGGACCAGACAACGTACCAAAAGAAGAACTTAGTGACTAGGGTATTAACACCTGGAATAGGATTCCTTGCAGGGTTCCTTTATATAATGGGCTCTCAAAGGGGTTCTATAATATAGCGGCCGTAATCACACCCTATACTTACCAAAGTAGTACCTCTTCATGGTTACGGTAACTTTTAGGATCCTAAATACAAACACTGCTAAACCCAAACAAGAACTACAATAGAGACTATAGGTACAATCGCATTCCGTTACGAGTTCCCTCAGAGGGCTCTTTAAAGGGTTCTGTGGTACAGGAATGTACATCATTGAAATAGGGTTTTGGGGCACATTACCGTATCCTTTTGATCAGGAGCTTGAATGCTGATAGCTGTTCAGGCTTGTAATGTCTGGTATATGAAGACATGTCTAAACCATCCGAATCATGTCGGATTGTCGGCTCGGAGAAATTTGGATGGAGACCGGTGCGTTAGCAGCAGCTAGATCAAGGGTTGGGTCTGGAAGGGATGGATAGCAAGGTTGCCAACCACGTATAACCACATCGGGTCAATGATACCTGTTCCGCCAACAACCGTAACCCCTGAAGCCCTTGACACAGCAACAACCTTCGAAACACACACCCTTCATTTTGACCCTAAGCCCCTGACCTAAAACCCGCTTGGAACCCTTGTCATGAACGTTCGTATAACATGCTGTGGCCCGCCTCATGAAAACAACGACATGTGCTCTCTGAACCCTATGAACCACTGAAACCACCCTAAACCGCAGGGCCGAAACCCCTTAACCCTGAACCCAACAGAAAGGGCATACAGTACAGTAGAAGCTCAAAAGTTGGAAACCCAATAGCCTCAGTCCTTGAGAGTAATGTAAAGCGAATCCCAACACTACTTGGCTTTAATCCGGTTTCCAACTTCTCATTCTGGAACAGCACGGAGCCGAGCTTTCCAGGATCCTGCAGCCTCATTTCCTGTCAGCGTGGGGTTTATTCATAGGGAACCCCTAAGAGGGTTATGGGGGAGGGGGGTAGGCGGCCTGAATACCTATAATTAGTAAGGACTTCATCAGGCCTATTTAAGGAAATATAGTCCCCCCGTTTCCTGACTCCAAAGGTACAAGGGTAGTTCTCTAAATTGGAGTTCTTTTTCAGCTCGCACAACTAGTACGGCACCAGGAGGGACCCTAATCTGTAAAAACGACCATAAAGTTCCAGGTTTCTGCAGCCCTAAAGCGTTTAGCGTTTTGGGGGATCCCGGATTGAGACTTCTGCGGCGACTTTGACGGTGCTGCTTCTACTGTCGGAGACGGGATTTGGAGACCGCGGGATGAGTTTGACCTAACTAGAACAGGAAGTATAGGACCCATTTAGAACGGGCATTTCAAGGTGAAATTCAGTTTTCCTATATCAAGGAAACCTGACGATTAAGGAAGGTGATATATATATATATATATGATGCCGGGCTGGAGCCCCCCCCTCCCCCCGTGGTGTGGCGTCTGTGGTCAGTGTGTATGCTGTATAAGTCCAGCACAATGGTAGACGCTTCGGGATGTATGATCTACATCTATAGATTACGTCCTATGTAGGGCCCAGGATGTCGAAAGATTGCAAAGCTCAACAGGGTCCTCCTCACTTGGAAGCGCATTCTGGGGTATATTAAAGCTTATATTTCGCAGTCTTCAGACCGCAATACTACTTCACTCCAACAGGAAGTACATCTATGTTAAAGCTTCACCGTTGTCATCCAACAGCAAAGACAACTCACGGGCATCGTGTGTACTAGATCGTGAAGAAGACATGAAACATAATGGCAGCTGGAACTGCACAACTGAATTACATTAACAGCCCGCCTCTTCATCATAATCCTAGCTGTAAGGGCAGAAGCTGTCAACATAATCCTCTTCGTCACCGTCAACACAAAGCATCCTCTAACCTCTGCAGCTGGCTCCTCCGCATCGCCCTAGAACATCCTCGAGGAGGACTATTAAAAATCGAAACGGGATTCTACTGCGCCTGCTATCGAAAACAGGCTTCGCTTTTTGCGTTTAGAGTTTGGGAACGCTTAAAAAAACCGAGTTTTGGCAACGCTAGCCTCGCTTATGGCCTGGTGAGGCCCTTCGGCGGGAAGTCGTAGAGTGAAAATAACACTGGCGGACATACCGAGGGCACCATGCCTGTCACGCGAAACAGGGTTTTTAATAGGATTGAGAACCCTACTGAAGCAACCCGTCGTGTGACATGACATGATCTGAGATGATCTGATATATATATATATATATATATATATTTATTTACTTATTTACTTATTTATTTATTTATTATATATTTATATTTGACATATGATGATGTGATTTGGCATGTCACACGACGGGTTGCTTCAGGAGGTCCTCCATCCCTAATTATGTAAAACCCTGCTTCGTGCAACATGCGTGGTACTTTCTGTATGTTCGCCAGTGATACTTTGAAAATCTACCTCTTCCCGCCTAAGAGCTGTATAGAGTATCTACAAACGCGGAACGTGATCACCTGCCCCCCCCCCCCCCCCCCCCCCCCCCCCCCCCCCCTCCCCCCCGCCCTCCGGCAGTAATCCCCTCCGTGCTAAACCACTGTGGACTTGACAACCAACTGCCAGCTACAATGATGGCGAAGATGCAGGAACCAAACACGTCCCAGCCACGCTGTCGATCTCGACAACAGCACCACAGAGCAGGGAGAGAAGATCCCGCAAAGCGTCCTCAGCTGTCACTTCACTGGGTTCCTTTCTTTTTGGCTACGGTATGATTAGGGATTACGGTTTCAGGGTGTAGGGCTGTGCGCTTTGGTCTCCGGGGCCTGAATAACCGGAAGATTTTTCGGACACATTATCCAGCATGTTCCGCAAGTAGCTTAGTGTTGCTGTTTGACAGGAACGTCACATTAAGGCCCCGTCAGGACTTACACAAGCCTCACGATGCCGGCTGTTGTCGCTGTAAAGGAGGGCCGGAGTTTCAGATTCGGACTTTGACACTGAGTAGTTTGAACCTTTTTGTGGGCGATCCATGGGGGGCTTTGGGGTTTAGGGCGTGCAGGCTCCGGGGTCCAGACTTCGGGTTGCAGGAAGTCTTCGAACCTTGATGCTCGAATGTATAGGTTCCGGTTCTTCCTCGCTTCGGACGGTTCCTGCAGCCTGGGGGCGTGCATCTTCTCAATGGCCTTGGCATTTGCCTGGCTGCAAGAGATGCAAGGCACAGCCTGGAGCCAGAATGGCCCCCAAAACCCCTGCAACAACCTTGAAACGCGTCATGCTGATGTAATGACATATTCAGCCAGGTTGGCTTCGGAGCACACTTCTGCCCTGGGCCTGGACTATCAAAGAGCGCAGCCTTGTGCCGCAATGCTTCGGACCGATCTGCTGAACTATAGAAAGTCTGGTTAAACGTAGTCCAGTCCAGTTTGAGCAAACCGCGTCTCAAACCTATGGGACGGCTGAGGACCTTGTAGGCAAATGGCTGAAAAGCAAACAACGTTACCCAGAGCCCCAACCTACAAAACAGCGGAACTTTTTTTTTTCTCTCTCTCTCTCTCTCTCTCTCTCTCTCTATATATATATATATACACACACATGTATATATGTATATATATATACATATATATATATAGAGAGAGAGATAGAGATAGATAGATGGGTGGATAGATAGATAGTGTAATTCTGGTATTTGCCCTCTTCAAGATCTATAGGAACCAGTAAACTCGGCCCGCTGGGATGACCTAGATGAAACGTTGCCATCCCTGGGCTTCGCTACTCGCCCACGTAAGGTACATATACATATAATAGAACAGCACATGTGGCATAGTTATGTATGCCTGCATGCATGTATGTATATACATACACACATGCAGTCATAAGGCTACTGTTCTGAACATCCAGACATTGAAACTGCTTGCACTCCAAGACTGATGCTTCATTGGATGTGACTGTATACTATACAGAACAAGTTTATGCTTCAAGCATGATACTCAAAGGCGACCTCATACTCGCAGGTTCATGTTGGAATAAGTTTGAATCATATGTTGTACTCTAAGAACGACGTTTCGATTTGAGCTTACACGCCAGTGCCTGTACTGCAAACATGATAACCAGAGGCCCTCACCCTGGCCCCACACCCCGATGCTTAACAGGCGCCCTGAAAATCCGAAAACACTTCCCACCTCCACAGCGCGTCGTCCCTCTTCGGCCGCTCGCGCCTGTTGCAATTTTGTATACGCCGGTTCAGACTTTTTAAACGGCTTCCAAGCTGTGGCTTAACACATGGCTACCAATGCCTTCATCGATTTTCGAGTGTGTCTGGGTCTTTGTGGTGGGTGCAGGGTTTGCCAAGGTTCACGAGTCTGATACGCCTTCCTGCAAAGCTTCTGAAAGGACGAGGTTGCTCCACGTTTCGTGCTTCAGTGGCCTAGGGTTAGGAGTCTTACTGTAGGCGTTCGGGGTTGAGGATTTCCGCAAAGCGCTTCGAGTGTGGCTTCGGGTCCCGCAGTTTGATGGTGATTTCTTGGGCGGCATGACAATTCCCAGACTTCGGAAGCTCCTCCTGGTTGTGCTCGGATAGCTCGACCCTCGACCCTGAAACCCTGCCACTATTATCACAATCACCCATCATAATTATAGTGAGTATATGTGAGTATTATCATCACCATCATGATGAATAGTATGAATACTATTCGATGAGTAATGTATCTATAGTAACTGTCATCACCATCATCATCATGAACCGCATGAGTACTATTCGATGAGTAGTGTATCAAGGGACAAATTCCAAGCGCTGCAATCTCGAAATCAAGCTGGAGTCCGACAGGTTCGAAATCCCGTTTAAAATCTAGGGATATGGTTAGGGTTGGGGTTTGAGAATTATATAGGGTTTTGGGTTAGCTATGTTTTAGGGTTTCGGGTTTAGGGTGCTATGGCGATATATGAGCCAGATTAGAGTTGATCTCAACCTTCGGTCATGGTTAGACCTGTATGAGTCCGAAGGTCCAACTCTCATATACTCCCGCAGATGCTAACGTACAAATACGACGACTTTCCAAAATCCGAAAACGGAACCAGCTGGCGCTTTGGAACCCTTACATTCGCAAAGAGCGCCCGGCTCAATGCCACAGAAAAACAACAAATAACAAGCCCTGCGTCCGCTTCTCGGGACGGGGGGGTTCGGGGGTAAGGTTTAGAATTTGTGGGACTATGCAAATGCCTACTGAAAGAAGGGGTTCAGGGCTTGGGTTTGCATGGGTGTTGGCGAGTAGTAGGGACTAGTGGCTAATGTGTAGGGCTCGGTAAGTATAAGGCGTCATCCGGAAGATTCCCCTACTCGCGGCTTAAAGCTTCGGAGGTGAAGGCGAGGAGTGCGGATTGAAGGTCATTTCTCGGGATCACCCTGCCTGCGCCAAGGCTTCTTTCGCCTCAGTATTGGGCCAGTTTCTTTGAAGACTTCACGCTTCAAATCCTACTACGAGCGTCGGCTTCAACAATTTGAACAGGATTCTGGGGTCTAGTGGTCTTATCAGTCGCAAGAAGGAGCCCAAGGAATATAGGTAATTATTCCGACCCCTACGCTAAGCCTTAAGCCTTACCCCGAAACTCTTCGGGTCCTTTCGTCCTTCAACTCTCGAAGGCCCACCTAGCAAGCAATGTGACTGAGTCTTCAGAATGTAGCCGAGAGGTCATGCGCGGTCAAGGGTTCAGGGTTTAATTAAGGTTCAGGATATGTGCGACATGCACGCACAGACAAAACCCTGAACCCTAAACCCCTAAACCCTAAACCCCTAAACCCTAAACCCCTAAACCCTAAAACATGTGGGGCTTCGGGTCCTCGGGCCGCAAGCCTACTCCTATGATCAAGTTTGGGCCTTCTTCGATCGGCTATTGTGTTCATCTCTGTTGCCTGTGGGGAGGAATATTGCTATGAATCCTGCGATTTCTCGGGACTTCCGAGTAATATAGGGGCCGAAAATAATTGCCAATATTATTGTTGGGGTTTCTTTAATATGACTATAGTATCATATGCGGTCAAAACCCTCTTCTAGTCATTAAGGCCCCTATATTAGTTCTCTGACGTCGGATCCCTTTTCCTGGACTTTGCAGCAAACAGGGAGAAAAAGGTATAGACTTTTATTTCGAAACAGGTACCAAACAAAAGTATTCAAGTATGGTACTCCAAACCCGGGTAGTAGTACTACACTAAACCTTAAACCCCTAAATCCCTTAACCCTAAAGGTTTCGGATCTTCAAGAGGCAGCTTCTTGGACGCGAAGTTCGGGGAACGAAGCCCCTAAGCAGCCTCAGCCCCCAAGCCTCGAGCATGCTCTTTCTAGGCCCAAAGCTCGAAAGCTGAAATCCTGAACCCCCAAACTCCTCAAAATAACAGCCCTACCCATGGGCCCCATAGTAGTTCCTTTTTGGGATAACCTTATAGGATTCTACATATGAACCCCAAAAAGGGAACTGCTATGGGGCCTTTAGGGAAACCCCAAACTCCTCAAAAAACAGCTCTAAGCCATGGGCTCTAAAACGTTGAGGTATGCGGCTTCTGGGGTCCTCCAAGCACCTGAAATTCCTAAAGCCCTAAAATAGCCCGAAGCCCCGAAGCCGCTTCCTGCCTGTGCCTCGGCAAGCTCTTTATCTCGCCGCGCTTTCTCCTGGACGACAATCGAAGAAGAATATTGAGGTTTCATAGGATTCCATATGGGCGTTGCAGGGTACAAAACTCCTGCAAACGAAATGTCAAAAAGGCACTCATCGAATCCTTAACCCTAGAGGCGCCTGAAGGCCCAGCAGCAGCCGCTTTTTGACAGGAGCCCTCACGACACCACCGTTTCTAGTCACCGATAAGGACCCTTAATGCTTTTACAGGGCCTCACAACCCTAGCCCTCAAACGAACCCTGACCGGAAGCCCAAGAACAGAACCCATACAGCTGCCCTCAAAAGGAATATTGTGAAGCCTAGACCTCGAAGTCAAAAAAAACATGAAACCAGTTGCCGGCGCCTCCTCCAAGTCCAGGGCCCGCTTTTCGGTTTTCACCCGGGTAAACTCGGCTTGAACCTCACGGGAACTCAAGGAAGTGATGATGAACGTGAGCGTCAAAACAGCCACTGTCAGCTTTCATGCTTAATGTAGCTAATATTGACCACTGTCATAACTGTCATATACACATGCGGGGTGTATCCATGTACGATTTGGTGGTGGTGGTGGTGGTGGTGGTGGTGGTGGTGGTGGTGGTGGTGGTGGTGGTGGTGGTGGTGGTGGTGGTGGTGGTGGTGGTGGTGGCGGTGGCGGCGGTGGTGGTGGCGGCGGGGGTCGTCGTCGTAGTGATGTGTCCTATGTGGTGTGGTCATGCTCTTGTTACCTGACATATTGGATTCAGCTTCGAACTTCACAGGAGGAGTATCCGCGTAAAACCCTCGTATACCCGCAACTACACCCCACACCCCAAACCTCTTATAACACCTAAACCCTCGGGCACCCCGAACCCTAAACCCTATAAACCCTAAACCTCAACCCTCAAATCATGTTGCGAGGGCCACGGGACCAGGGCATACTCCACGTTCGCTTTGCTCGACACGATGTTGGACAAAACCTAGGATTGGGGGTTTAGGAGGGATTGAGGATCTAGGGATTTCGAAGGTCCGGATGGATAAAGGCTGTATAGGGTTTAATTGGAGTCTCACAGGGTTTCGACGGGTTTTTGTTGAGAGGGTTGAAGGGTTTAGGAGTACGAGGCTACGCTATTTCGGAGGGGTTGTACGGCTGAACCAACATCTGGTCTAGCATGCGAAAGCCCATTGAAGGTCCGAATGCTCCCCTCCGCCCCCTAAATACAGAAACTGCAATGGCTACAACTCGGACCCGTAGCTACCGATATCACTGGACACCTTGCTCCAATCTAGCAGCTGGCACCCCAAGAATCCCAGCCCCCCAAGCTCAAACTCGAAAAGAGAACTCAAAGCCATACATGGGTGTAGTGATACAGACATGTGAAAATGCAACCATTGATGCCGTAGATCGTAAGAGCCAGGAAACAGCACTGTAGTGCATGCAGAGCATCATGATCGACACCAGGAGGACCTGCGACGATGTCGGTAAGACAGTAAACCTCTGCCCTGAATCTGAAGTCTAAGCCCAGAAAACCTAACCCAGGACAGTGCCTAGCAGGTTTGCTCACCCGTTTGTGTTGTGGCCAATCCTGCTTTGCAACGAGCTATTGTGAATTTTCAAGTCGCAGCATCCTTCCCATAATACTGGAATTGGTAATGAAAAAGAAAACTCTGCAAGGGTTCTAAACTGCAGAAGGCTGCCATCAAAAAGCGCGTTTGGAATAGACCATGCCGTTGCTGGATGCTGAACTTCATGAAAGTTGGGCTGGCAAGCCCTCGAAACTTCGCAAGCCCATGTACTCGATGCCTCGGTACTTGAGGATACTCTAATTGCTAGCTCTCTTAGTTAGGGCCCCTTTTTAAGTCCCAAAAAATACTACGGCACCCCAGGCTACTGCGCGCACATTCGGTGAAGCCCTTGCCCGAACCACAAAACCTCAAGATGTTTCGCTTCAAGGCCGATCAATACCCTCCTGCAACTTCCACCATCCCTTAAGCTCCCCATGGTTGCTGTCCTATCATCTGTTGTCTCTGCCACTAATGATCGTCTGCTTCTTAGGATTCTTGCTGTCATCACTGCAGCCACCAGTTCCTCTGGCAGAGCCACCTGCATCGACGGGGAGACACTGCTCTCGCTTTTGTCGTTGGAGAAGCTCCTCGGCTTGGAAGTGGTTGGGGCTTAGGCTTCTTACAAGGATTTAAGTCCCAGAAAGCCTGCCCGGCGGGTTCCGGCACCTACATTAAGGACGTAGGTGTAAGTAGGGTGTGGGGTTTGGGATCCGGGTCAACTTCACACCAAAGGGGTGTCGAGAAGGTCGCGGGCGCAGATTTCATTGTTTACGGTGCCGAAAATCTCCACTGATACGACTCCCGCTCTTGGAGTTTACGGACTCTACGATAGGATGGCAATGGAGACGAGAGGCAGGGACCATCGAACAATGATCTTGAGCGATTCAAGAGAGGTCCAGTCCAACCACTTACCCACCCATGGTGCGAAAGCTGCTGAGAGGTAAGACGCCGGAGTTTAGGCTACTCCTGCTGGAATTCGGCAATCTCCTTGCAGATTTCAGGGGCTTCCGGCTTCTGGGTTTACAGCCTTACGTACAAGTACGTGTTCATACCATACCTCTTCAGCTTGCGAATCCCCAGAACAAAGCCGAAATCCTCACACGGAAATGAAGAAGTCGCTATAACAGCATCAAGAACGACAACAGCAGCAGCAGCAACACCAGCAACAAGAACAATAACAACAGCAACAAAAAACACAACCACAAACAACCACGACCACCACGACCACGACCACCACAACCGCAACCGCAACCACAACCAAAACAGTAACAACAGCAACGGTAATGGCAACAACAACAGCACAAAAAAAAAAAAAACACCACCAACAACAACAGTAGTAGCAGTAACAGTATCAGTTACAGCAACAGTCTCAGTAACAACATTAGCAACAACAACAACATCATCAACAGGAGCGTCAACAGCAACAACAACAGCACCACCAGTAACAACGACAACAACAACAATAACAAACAAGAAACGCAACGACTACGACTAGTGTAAAAACTACCACTACCACTACTACTGGTGCTACGATTACTACTATTACTACTATTGCTACTAGTACTACTAAAACAAAACTACTCGTAGTATTAATGCTACTAGTAGTACTAGTACCACTTGCTAGTACCACTAGGACTACTTGTACTGCTAGTTACTATTAGTAGTAGCAGCAGTAGCAGTAGCAGTAGCAGTAGCAGTAGCAGTAGCAGTAGCAGTAGCAGTAGCAGTAGCAGTAGCAGTAGCAGTAGCAGTAGGAGTAGGAGTAGCAGTAGCAGTAGCAGTAGCAGTAGCAGTAGCAGTAGTAGTGCCCGCACCAGCCCACAACACCACCACAACCACCATGAACACAAGAATTGACATCAGCACCACCACTGCCACCATCACCACCAGACGACGACAGGCAGTCGAGTACAGCGGACACTACTAACCGCAACAGTCGCATTAGGAACGACAAAACTGCATCCGGCACTAGACTGCATCTACTGCAAACGCTCAACCTACGCAAAGCAGAGCCAATCGGGCACTCAAATCCTAACACCGTGCCCTGCTGCGAAGCAGCGCTTCCGGTGCTGCAGCTGAGCGGCAAAGACAAGAAGAAAGCCGTGTGAAGGATCCTAGCAGTCTGCAGATTTCCGGCTTCAGTTCGGTATGTTCGGTCTAAGGGGTTCTACAACCCGATTTCTGGGGCCCTTTGCAAATTACAGTACAAGGACACGAGCCGAACATGAACCCTAAACCACGTCCCCAGAGGGTTTTTGTGTCTGCCTTTGCAGACCTTCCACGACAACGTGGTCGCACAAACAAAAAAGAACAAGCCAGCATAGTCTTGTCCATATCTAGCTATCTGCTGAATATCTATATATATATATATATATATATACGCATACTCATGCACATATGAACACACGCGCGCACACACACACACACACACACAGAGACATGCGTGTACACACGCCGGCATGCACTGTATGCATGTAGCTGCAGGTGTACTCGGCCATGCAATGAATGACGTCCGCTCCCATTGATGTGTCCTTAAACCTTGCGGCGAGTCTTTGCGCGGCCGGAATGATGACGGCAAGGAAGTGGGTCAGCATGTACGCACAAAGACGTATCCTTGAACCGTTAATCTCAAACCTGTGAGGCTTCAACCTTAAAACCGAATCAAACCTAACAAAAATGGAGACCTTGCCGGGATCCACTCTACGTGAAGTCTGCTGTGCGGGCCTATGGACCCTGTACATTGCACAGAACATGACCAAGTATCAAACTGACGCTATATGGCGAATCATCACGGGGGTTCGTGAATACCGGAATGTAACGGGGCATTCACAGCGATACCCCTCTTCCCCAGCGACATGCAGCAAGTTCCAAAGGCTTGAACCTTCAAGAGTGAAACCCGATCTCGAACTCCTAATCGCATCAGAATCATCCACCACAATCTTGAGCCTTCATTCGCCCTAGCCTAGCTACCGCAAAGTCTCAAACAACCCCCGAAACTTGAATCGAGGGGCATGTTGGCAACTATGAGCCCGCGGGGCAAGCCCAAAGCCTTCAAGGGAAACGGCAGCAGCGGCTGGTAGAGGGGTCGTAACAATGTTGATAGGGTGTAGGGTATATTAACCTGTGTTTGTATTCGCATGCTTTCGCGTTCTGAGGCTTGAAGCCTGAGGGCTCTTGGGGTTTAGATTCTAGGTCCCACCCAGGTTTAGGCTCCTGGTGGTAGGGGTGTGCCGTTCGGTCCTTTAGTTGTGAAAAAGTTAATGCTTGAGGAATCGACGTGAGCATCGGAGGATGGTGTATGTGACATGGTAGGTAGGCGTGTACGACTTATATGTTGAGAACTCTGTATGCAGTCATGATATACATATTATATATGTATAATTATACATACATGCGATAATTCCACAGACATGTACATACATATACACATGTAGAATAGACAGAATTGATCATTGATTGATTGCTGGCTTGCTTGCTCGCCTGCTGGCCGGCTGGCTGGTTTGGCTGGCTGTCTGGTGGGTTTGATGAGTTAGTGACTCATTGGTTAATTGACTGGGAAGGTATCGGTGAACCTTTTTCTGACCCAAGTCCCACAACCGCTGTAAAGTGCTACAGGTAATTACCTCGCACTGAGCTTCACTAAACACCCAGAAACCTTCAAACCTCAAGCCCTTTGCTGGTCTGCTGGACGCCAAATGCCTCAAACGCTAAACCCTACGAGATCCCCGTACCCCTCCCACCATTGCCACAAGTCCCGACCCCCTAGACACACACTACTACAAACTACATGTCCCCTTTCAGGAGAACAGAAACAAGCGCAAACCCTCAGACCATCGCCAAACTCTAACTAGACTCCCTAAGCCCGAAGCCTCAAACCCTACACCCTTACACCGCTGAACCCTAAACCAAGGCCACGGCCATGGACATCATCGTCACAAAGACCATATGGTTCAACCACACCTGCCGGTTTCAGTTGGAGCGCGCGACCGCTATGGCTTGGGCTGATTTAGTTCAGGTCGCACGTGCAGCTCCGAAAAGGAGCCACCTTGAGGCTGGAAGGAGCTCCATGTTTGTTGGCAAGCCAAAGCTGCATACGAGCAAACCATAGCAAACCCAACAGTGGCATAACGACCGCACCCCAGACGCCGGGGATTCTTCTCAGCTTGCAGATTACATCGGGGCCCGGCACATCGCGATGGGCACCATGCTACGAGACGCGCACGCCGAAGTGTGCGCAACGAAGCAAAGCACGTGGTCCCTACCTGTTCCAGACTCCTCGCTCGCTTCATGAGATCCAGGCTCATCGAGTCATGCCATGGGCGCCGATTGCTATCCGGGCTCCGGCAATGGCACAATGTTGTACCAAACTCTCCAAATTCTGCCCTCTCCGTCTGCCAGAGGTGACGACAACAAGTGCCGGCTTCACATCTGACAGCCACCACCGAACCGCCACGCCAATCGCCCATCAAAGCGAGGGATGAGGAATGCTGTCGGAGAAGTGAGTCCAGCAGGTGCTGGTCGGAGTCGTGACGTGGGTGAGCGCTAAGGTCGGCACGGGCTCATAACAGCTTTTGTTTCAATGCTCCCGAACCTTCGTTGTCGGATACCCAGAACCATTGACGCTGAACGCAAAGTGTCGGTCTTGCGGTTTGAAGTGCTGGGTTTGGGCTTTAGGGTGTTGTGGTTTGCGATTGTTTCTTGGGGCCTGTGACTCCCAAACCACGCAACGTATCCGGATTAGGCCTGCAAGCCTGAGTGATTCTGGAGCGTCAAGCTCTCGGATGGCCGAGCTTCTTATGCCAGCAGCTCAAGAAGGTATGAATAGCTAAAGCAGAACGCAGGGGCCTCAACAATTATATGTGGGGTTTCGGGGCATAGTGGCATAGTGTGGTACTGCCATATCAATATCATTACGGTACGGAATCCGAGACCCAAAGGAAAGGTGCTACTCAACTTGTTCAGGCCTCTACATGGGTAGTTGTCAAAATTATGGCCCCTTTTTGGGTACCCTAAATATTAGGTGCCGTACTATAATAAGGACCCAAAAAGGGACCATAAATTTGACAACCACCCACATGAAACCCTAAGCCTTCTGGAGGCCTCTTCCAGAAAGTAGAGCCAGTTTCGATCAACGAGGTGCCGCACGGTGTTGTAGCCTCAGGTGGCGGTGTAAGGTCCGGGATCACTGGCCCAAAGGCATAAACACTTTGCTCAAACACTCTTAACCCCCAAACCCCACTGTTCGCTTTACTTATCTGTTGAACTACCTTGACGACCCTTGTATGAGTTTAGGCTTTCGGGTGCAACCGTCTGTTCAATTCTTCGCGGCTTGTCACCATGCTGGTTCTATTGGAGTTTTAGCACTGCTACAGCGATGAGGCCAACGTCCAATGCGCCCAACACACCACGTCATGAGAAGACAACAATTTTTCTGATGCTGAGGCGGAGGTGAAGCAAGGCCAGGACGACAACGGCACCGGCACGAGACAGGGTTGGTTTGAGTATGGGTATGATGATTACGCCGAGTACGCACGGTGGCATCTTTGACCATGATGACGGCATTATGTTGATGATGTTGCTGCTTCTGATGATAATCACGAAGAAGATAACGATGCTGACAGGATCGGTGACAACCTTGCTGATGATTCTGCTGGTGATGAAGCTGATCGGCGATGGCGATAACGATGAGACTGCCAGCGGTGGTAGCACTGCGAGTGTTGCGCCGGCGGCGGCGACAGCGGTGGCGGTGGCAGTGGCGGTGGTGGCGGGGGCTGGAGTGGTGGTGGTGTGGCAGGAAGTTTGGGAGCATCATGACGACGATGCTGATGGCCACGTGGATGGTGATGATGGACAATCCCAAAGCCTAATCTCCAAATCCGAAAAAACCCCAAATCTCAGACCCCAGTCCCCAAATTCCTAAAACCCCAATCCGTTAATGACGATGATCGTGAGCAGCCGGGAGGCCGAACCATGCTGCCAGGAGCAGCCAAATTAAAAGCCGAAGCTTCGGTGTCGGCGGAAGGCCTCCGCTGGTTTCCGTTTGGAGCCAGGAAGCAAGCGTGTGCATACAGAGAAGATTCAATGAACACATGCATCCATCTATCCATCCATCCATGCATACATACATAAACACTCATCCATGTCTCTGTGTGTGTGTGTGTGTGTGCGTGCACGTGTGTGTGTGGGGGGTCTTTGCTTCTTATCTATATCTATGTTCATCCATATTCGTGTATTCACGCATGCACGGTCATGCACGTGAACCATTCTATGTATTGAAAGAAGATTTTCTCCCTCGCGAATGTTTTCCTAAATAGAAGTCTAGCTCTGAGTCGCTATGTGTGCATTGATGTTTCGATTTGGTATTGGGGAACATAGCCAGATAAGTTGCACTCGCCCGTCAAACAAGGTGTATGTAACAGCTAACTCTCAGCGGGACCCTTAGTGCCTAAGGGTCGACCGAGGGCTCTTCGGGCGGCGAGGGGTCCATTTGCAGGATCTTTATGATGAGACTCCGACGAGTCAGGATCTATATCTGCGGTCCCTGATTTTCCGAGAATATGAGCTTTGAGTGATAAAGCAAGAGAGTGCTTAGGGGCATGTTGAGTTACACGCGCAGGGTCTGCACAATTGCCCTTGGGAAGTGGGGATCGCAACGAAATGGGTATGATTCGGCATGATTATTGGACGTTTAAGGTGCTGAAACCTAGACAAGACACCATAACCAGAACCTGTGGTACCTCTTATCCCGACAGCCCATGGACAAAGAAACCACGAACAAGCCCACTACGCTCACTACTAGTACAGCCTAGACCCTATACAGCGCGCCAAACTTGCATCCGTCGGAGAAGCCCACAGTATTCCCGAAGCACTTCTCGGAGACCCGGAACCGAACTTTAGCCATGAACCCTTCCTACCCTCAGGCTCCATGTACCCATATAGTATATACTTATGCCTTAAGGTGCCTTTTTATAAGGACCCCTTTAGGCTTAAGTATCCACTATGACATGGAGCCTTTGGGCTACATGATGCATGACTTTCGTTTCGAAGGTAGAATGTAGATTCATGTTCGGGTACCTGGTTTGTTTCCTATGGGGCCTTCACAAAGCATGGAGCTGCCTTCGAACCTGTAGGTGAAGCTTAAAAAAATGGGGGAGCCCGAGGCTGCAGGATTTAGGGAATTTCAAAACCCCAAACCCTCAGACCATCAGAAATTTCGCTTCTCTGCCTCGGGCCCATAGTAGGCCGGTGACGACCATGGGTACCTGTTGAATCTCAGCATCCAAACGGGGCCTAGTAGAAAGAGTAGAGACACCCAAAGAGCAGGATCTTGAACATAGATAACACGACTCTGATGTATAGACAACATTCCGAGAATCTTTTGCTAGCCCCTGTAAAACCCTTACAAAACTATTGAAAGACCTCCGGTCCGAAGCCCGGAGTTCGAAGAAACCACCGTCGGAGTTGTGATCGACTGCTCGTGTCCCTGAAGTTGTGGGGGTTTGGGGGATCGGGTTTAGGGTTTAGGTATTCGGGGGGGGCGGGGGGGTTTAGGGTTCAGGAGTTTGGAGATGGAGGGTTTCCCTTTGCGAACTCTGGGGTCTTCCACAGGCTTCCATTCAAGCTCCTCACTGAAAACTAAATACTACATCGCTGAGGTTCTAGGAATGCCATTCTTACCATATAAGTAAGATCCGGAATCCTGGATAAATAGTACGACCCCTAGAACTCTTCTGCATGCCCTTTAGTCCGAGACCCTGCTCTCATTCTTAAGGCCCCTGTATCAAGATGAGATGCCTTGACCCTGGGCCGCCCCCTAAGAAGTTGCGGTTCAGGGGCCACACCTGATTCAGAAACCTCGGGTCTTTCTTAGAACCCCTTGTACGTGTATACATACATACATACATACATATATATATATATATATATATATATCTATCTATTTATTTATTCACGAGTGAACAAAAATATATACATATACTTATATATACATATACTTATATATATATATATATATACATATGTATATATATATATACATATATATATATACATATATATTATATTATATATTATATCCTAACATTTTGGGCGTTCAGGACCTGGGTTGCTCAATCAGGTCCCTACGTGACAGAGGGTGTATACGGTTTGGGGCTTAGGGAACATAGCGGCCTCGATCATTCAAACCTGAGTTCTTGTTTGGTAGAATAAGGAACCCTTTCCACTGAAGACGTAGGACGTGAAGGGTCAGGGCTTCAGAGGTTTGGGAAAAGTGAACCCTCAGCTGCTCGAAGGACTTCAGCTGGGACTGCCTCTGGATTCGATCGGGTTTAGGTTTCAGGGTCTTGAGCCAGCCGCTTCTCGGGAATAAGTTTTGAAGCTTTTCTCTCTGTACACCCCGCAAACGTTCCAGTTTCCTGGAAGCCGGCCTCCCCGCGCATACACGGCTTCAATTCCCACCTCAAACGTGCTAAAAACCAAATCTTTTCACCCCGACGTTTCCTGAAATCGAGTATTTCGGCCGAAGCACCACATTGGTGTCCCCATAGAGAAGGCTCATGTGCTCATGTCCTGATGGCTCAGGCGTGGTGACCAAGCTTCTGCACTCTCAACCTTCCAAAAGTGAGACCTGGAAAAGCCAATGCTACAATGCTAGTAAACCGAGCGTCAGACTTCAGCCTCTAAGTTCGGGCGTCGAGGCGCAGTGGTCAGATTTAAGGCCGATTACGGCTGCAGGTTTGAAGAAGAGCATGATATCTACAGATAGCTGACTATAGAAGACCCCCCTCCGCCCTCCGATATGTCGAACCGAAATAATGGGATCCGCCTTTTGAAGAACCCTTACAAGCAGCCCCCACTTCCCAGAGTCCCAGCTGAGTTGCTCGGCTTTGCCAACCTGTTTAATCAAAGAAGCTCCCAAGTTGTTCACAAGAGTTTACACCAAGCTAAGAGCTTAAACCTGAACCCCAATCCTTCACGCAGCACCCCAAAGGCTTGAGGTCTGGGATAGCGGCTAATTAGCAGGCTCCTGGTTTCAAACCCGAGCCACCAAGTAAAATTATGTCCCCTGCCAGGGTCAACGTGCTCAAAGCTCGAATTCGTGTAAGATGTCTTGCATGTAGTAATGTCAGACTTCGGGGTTTGAAGTTAAGATTGCCTCTTGTTTTCTGTAGAGACGAAGACACTTAATCCCTTCATGTGCAACAAGGGCTCACCCAGAAAACCGAGGCCCAAAGCAAAGGTTTCACTGAGCATCTTACGACTCCTTGAATCACCATTCAGGCACGCAAACACAAGCGGCAGGTTTCAAACGGATCGAAGGATCTTCACCCACATCAACTTCTTATTACCGAACGCTTGAACCGGAGGGAGGCGAGACAACTAGACAAAGGGCTTCGCTTTGGGTTTATGGTTTAGGGTTGAGGGGCTTAGAACTTTGGGGGTTCAGGGTCTGGTGAACAGCACAGTGCTTCGAAGCATTCGTGACTGTTCGAAAACGGTTTCGGGGTCCGAAAAAATGTACAGTAATTATTTGCGGAACTTTCAGGGCGTGCTCGTAGTAGCAACATCCAAAGACCGCATCCTGACGCCCCTAAACCATTGAGCCCTGCATTTTCAAGGGCAGGCCCAAGTCTCTCAGCAGAGAGAGGAGCACCGTGAAGACGCAAAAAGGCGCAATGACCTTGTGATTTGGTGTTTGAGGGCTTCGGGCCGCATCTTGCTACTCTAGAGACTTCTACAGATTCCGGGATCGCTACAGACGTCGGGGTTCCAGCAAAAACAGACACCGCTAGAGCTCTTATTCTTGTTTTGTTCTGGCTGAAACGAAACGTTTCCCTCTAGAAGCCCTGGCACCCTGAAGCCGTAAGACACTAGGCCGAGATAGTTCGATCACATCTACGGGTATGGTGGCACATAGTACACTTACATGACAAGGAAGATCTTATCGACTCTCTTCGACCTAGTTGTCTCTGAGCTCCAAAGGCACCACCGTGGTTTTGCAGGAAAGGCTTGGTGTGGTGATTCTGGTTTAGGATCCGTTTGCACCCCAGAATGCTTCTAGAGCAATCTTGGCAAGCTGACGAGCCTTTCGACTAGTTTGCTCGTTCCCAATCACTTCTCTAGGCCCTCTAAACCGTAAACACTAAACATCAAGTGCACAAGGATAGGATTTTAGCCCAAGGCAGGCGGCGAGGAATGCAATTCCCGTCGTGGTTTGAGATGGCTTGCAACATGTACTGTCGAACGGAATTCTCCCACACATGCCAAAACGTGCTGACTCTTGTGCATGGCTCTAGCAAGACGTAAAATCACCAGCCGCCCAGGGAGACCCATGTCGAAGAGGAGTTTTCTTACCGAGGATATCCTTTCGGAACCATTTGACGTAAGCAGCCCCTGTGTGGAACCCTTCATCGAGAACCTCGCCCTGAACCCGAAACTCTACTCCTTCTTCCGTCCGCATAGGATTCTTATTTGGGGGCCTGGGAGCCCAGAATGGATTCTTCGAGCAGTAGACACGATTATTATAAACATCCTAAGCCCCATCTGTTCCTCAGCAAACCCCTGTAGAGTTTGGATGTATGACCCTGTGACTTACGGACGACCTTGTGACCTAGTGACTTAGTGTCTCTAGTTTTGGTTTGGGAGTTTGCAGAACAGCCTTCATAGGCCAAACAGGAAACTATCAGAACTCTTAGTTCGGAGCCTCATACATCCGAAAAAGCGTTCCTTCCCGAAACTGCCCAGCGGGCCTGTGTGAGGGATTCGTAGGCTATGATGGACTCGATCCCGTCCTCAGAAGAGAGGTTAGAAATACCGGACCCGACAATCCAAGGCCCAGAACCCCATGGAAATAAAAACGGTTAATGGTGACGGGCGGTAATGATGAACCTTGAATTTTTTTCAAAATATATTGTATGGTGTTGATTGGCGGGAGTGCCTTGGCTCAGGCAGTGGACATCTTCGCGCAGCTTTGAGCAAGGGCACATTACTCAGAGTTCATTTTACGACAAGGGTGGATCTGTTGATAGGGCTCCGTCAGAACTTGCACATTCAGTGCAGGGGGCGTCCTCCTGGGAGCGAACAACTCTACTTTACACGCTTCTGCTCTGCACGCTGCAATCCCATACAGCCTGAATGAAGTTCGGACCCGGTTCTTATTTGACTCCATTTAAATGAGCATACATACTCCTTCCAGTCCCAACGAAGTGCCCAATTCTCCGTTACGTCTGTTAAGGAAGGTAGTTTTCCATAGTGATACTTGGACCCTCAGGCGACTTAGACAAGAAATTCATCTGCTATATGTCCGCATGTCCCAGTCCCTGAACCCTAAACATTACACCCCTATAGACCCTGAACCCTAAACCTTAAACCCCTGAACCCTAAACCTTAACCCCCTATAGACCGTAAGCCCGAGACCTTAAAACCCTAAACTCCTAAACCCTAGGCCCGGTTTAGGCTGCCCAGGATCCAACTGCATCTTGTAGCTCTTGTGCCTCTCGGAGATTTGGGGATCCGGGCACCTACCCGGGTCACAACTCCAGATGTAGGGCTTAGGCCCTCTAAGGCTGTTTCAGGGCCCGAGGGTTTAGGTCCTAAAGCCTTTCAAAGGGCTCCGGGATTACGCCCTAAGGCTGTTTAAGCGTTCTGAAATCGTACCCGAAATCTAGAGCGTGGGCCTCGCGGCTACAACGTCTAGGCTTTCTGCTTACGGTGTTTCGGGTGCATTGCTTGCAGGGTTCAAGCTTTTGGGGCTTCGGGGTGCCTGGGTGAACATTTTAGTGTGTGCGGGATAATGGGCAGGGAGCGTGACATCACTGGACTTGGCCCCTTCTCGAGAGGGTCTGTGTCTCGGGGTTTGCAGCGATTACGAACAAAGTTTCGAACCGGGAGACCTGGTAGTAGCAGTAGTAGTAGTAGTAGTAGTAGTAGTCGTAGTCGTAGTCGTAGTGGTAGTAGTGGTAGTAGTGGTAGTAGTAGTAGTAGTAGTAGTAGTAGTAGTAGAAGTAGTAGTAGTAGTAGTAGTAGTAGTAGTAGTAGTAGTAGTAGTAGTAGTAGTAGTAGTAGTAGTAGTAGTAGTAGTAAAGTAGTAGTAGTAGTAGTAGTAGTAGTAGTAGTAGTAGTAGTAGTAGTAGTAGTAGTAGTAGTAGTAGTAGTAGTAGTAGTAGTAGTAGTAGTAGTAGTAGTAGTAGTAGTAGTAGTAGTAGTAGTAGTAGTAGTAGCGGTAGTGGCAGTAGTCGAAGTAGTCGTATTACGGTAGTAGTAGTAGTAGTAGTAGTAGTAGTAGTAGTAGTAGTAGTAGTAGTAGTAGTAGCTGTAGTACTAGTAGCAGTAGTAGTAGTAGTAGTAGTAGTAGTAGTAGTAGTAGTAGCAGCAGCAGTAGCAGCAGTAGCAGTAGCAGTAGCAGTAGCAGTAGCAGCAGCAGTAGAAGCAGCAGTAGCATACGTGCATTGTTCAACATTTAATAAGATACTAGCGTGATACGACATGCTGAAGTATGATATGTTGTAACATGATATAAGACAACATGTAGGGTAATGCTGTAGCATAGTATAACACAGGATAATATCCTGCAAACTAGTATAATGTAGGTAATGTTACCATAGACAGGAAACAGTCCGATAGTGCATATATATATATATATATATACATATATATATATATATATATATGCGAATGTTCATATTGATATTCATATACCCACTGTAACAACACAACGTGAATCATACTCTAAGAAACTCCACGTAGGCAGCCAGCCTTTCGCTGTCCTCGCACTCGTTGTCGCTGAGTTCCGGCAGCACCTGATTCAAATAGTACACAGCATGTATCATCTAGTGTCTAATACTTTTTCTACATCATGCGCAAGATAGCCTAATAGAACCTGACACATATACTCCAACATATGTCATGTACAATGGCATCTAGCCTGGCGCTTGCCAGCAAAGACTAAGACTGCAGCCCAACTCCCAAACCCACCTCTTTAGATTTGGGTTGCGGCGACAGAGGTGAGCCTGAAACCTAAGCTCAACAAAAAAAATGGTAATAACAATAACACTACGAACATAGTGATGGGATGACAAATACAACTCGAACATACCTTCTTCACGTGAGCTAGGCTTTGAACTAGGCTTTCGCAGAATGTGATTATCTAGGCGGCCTCAAAACGATACACGCCTTGAACAAGGCCACACATTTAAAAAAGATGTTGCAAAGGTCCTCGGTGTTCGTCTCTGTCCACTTCCAGTGGATGTTCCTGCAACCCTAAACCCTAAACCCTGTTGAAATCAGAGCTAGGCTAAAGTTCCAGCGCCGGACACCGAAATCTGACACCCTGGGCTGCAGTAAGGGGCGCGCGTTAGCCCACTTAGGGTTTGCGGTTAAGATCATCTTTCAGCCTTTCACAACTCCGCTCCTACGTGAGCCTTGCGGGCTTTTGGGCTAAAGCCATCCTGTCTTCAGCGGAGACGCAGCTGTAAGCTGCTTCTTCAGCCACTTCCGCTGAAAGCTCTTGCGAACATCGCCCACGCGGTCCTACAGCGAAAGCAGCTTCAAATCAAGGATTGAACGACGGCTTGCGGCCAAAAGTCGGGATGCAAGATATACTTCAAGCTCAAGGTGGTCTACAAGATTACAGACGAGCCGAAAGTGCGCGGGGCAAATGATGCACAAGGATACACGAGTGCTTGAGGCTTGGAACAAGCCTTAAGATTGGAGATGTATCCAGCAAGAGCTCAGAGGAGAGCGATCCCTGTACAAGGACTCTTACCTCTCCTAGCTTCATCCCACCAGTGGAGCCCTCTGATTGAAGGGATGCACTTATCTAAACCGCTTCTCTGGGTTGAGTCTTTCGCAGCATTCAACAGCGACGACTCCCACCATCGAAGATCATGGTGCCTCAAACTCTAAGTAGCTTTATTGCCACCACTTCCAATTTTTATGACCTACTTATACTTTTTGCACCTAACATTCTAACCAGCTTCATTACCACCACTTCCAACTTATATGACCTACTTATACTTAAACAGGCCAATCATGCTTTGCGCATCGTTTTGTTTTGCAGTTCTAAAGCGTGCCAAGAGTCCCAGAACTCGATGGACCTCGCGTAGCGACAGGCCTTCCAGAAGGCCACCAGAAAGTACCCTGCCACCTCGTTTTCGGATGAGTTCAATGGTTCAACAAACATATCACACAAGTTCTACTGGGCGTTGGAGTTTAGGGCTGTAGTTAAGCGTTCAGGGCAAGGGTGTGCGTGCAGGGCTTTAGGGCTTTATGTCTTGACTACAGTTTAAATGGAGCCCCAGCCTCAGAGCCGCAACATCTCTATCACCCCACCGCAACCACATCGGATCTTGGTCCGGCCAGCTGGCAGGCTGGCGGGCAAAGGAAGTTTCAAAGACTCTTGATCAGGTTTTTGTAGGATTTTCGGGTTTGGGGTTTAGTTAGGCTTAGTGAGTTAATCCTAGCCAGGATGGCAATCTCTGCTTCAAGGTGGTGGGTTTCGCTAGGGCTACGTGACATGGACAGCTGCTTTACCATGGCGCATTATGCTCTCAACCCTGCGCTGTTTACTTGCAACACCTTCGGTATACTAATGTTCTGAAGTCATAACCGTGACTTACTATGACATGATATACCACAGCCTGGAATAATGCTTTACAAACTTGCATGTCCAGAACATATATTGGCCCGGGGACAAGCAGAAGTCTCATCCACCACCACCAGGCAGGATCCTCGCGCTCGATCACCTGCAGCGGCATCGCCTTGGAAGATGCCTTGGCTGCAGTCATGCTAGTGTTTTGTTAAGGGTTCCTTCTACGTGTTCCTTTAGAGGCTTGTAGAATGGTTCTAAATTTCTAAATGTTAGGGGGGCCTTGCTAATGAGTGGAATAGGGTGTTGGGCGCTGTTGTGCTATGTTCCGCTGAAGCAACAAGGAGCCCTAAGGAAAAGTATGACTAACTATCTAGGCTTCTCTGCTACATGCGCTGCGGCGCAGAGTGGTTTGGAGTTCGGTGCTTGAAGGCTTCAGGGTGGAGAGCCTTGGGTCTTCGAGCGGTCTTCAGGGCTGTATGTATGCACCTAGCGAAATGCCAGAAGACCGAGACCCTAGCCCTACCCCTCTCTCGAAGTCGATTTACCTGCATTCTGGGTTACTGTTCCGTATACCTTATGTAATCTGTGTAGTACTTGCAGCAGTGTAATCTAGCTACTAGGTAGGTTACTGGGCTTCCGGGGTACGGTCACACTTTCATCGCGCATCACCCTCCCCGACTGCTTCCTAAGTCAACTTTGGAACCTGAAACCGTACGAAAACAGTCGACCCTTGCATAAACCTTGAAAGAAGCACAAGAATCCCTAAACTAAAAACCCCTAAGGGCCCTTGAACAAAAAAAACTAAACCCTTAAAGAAACCCTACATTGCCCGCTACACTAACGATTTAGCCTCGAAGCCAGCGGGATCGGCAAAGCCACACCAGTGTCTCGTCTGCGTATTCCAACGTGAGAGCTCGAGGGTCCGGCTTTTTTATTATGTTGTTGTTTTTTTTTGGGGGGGTGGGTTAGGGTTTAGGGTTTTGGGGCTTATAGGGTTTAGGGCTTTTTTTTTTTGGGGGGGGGGGGGGTTGTAGGAAGAAGGGCCTGCCAACGGTTCTTTATACGAAGGGTTATGGTTTTGTGGTGAAGGTTCCATAAGGGGGCTGGACAGGTTCTACAAGGTTCTCGGGTTTGGGGGGTTAGGGCTTTAGGGTTTAGGGTGTGGAGTTTGGGGTATGTGCTGAAAAGACCCGAAGAGGCCGCTGAGGATGGGGATGGATCTTCGGGACGAGGCGATACAGGGCAGGGACCGCGACCGGCCCAAACTCCAAAACCTAAACTCCAGAAGGGTTTAGGGTTTAGGGTTTAGGGCTGTATTACTAAAACTATTCTAAAACTTGCAGGTGTCTACAACCTTATCGGTCCAGCTTCGAGCCAGGTGCAAAGGCAACAGCCAGCGACGGAGTGGTTCAAAGTCTTAGGCTCTGAGGCTTGGATCTTTAGGGCTTCGGGCTTAAAGATTTATACGGATGGTTTCAGAAGCTTCGGGCTTTGGGGCTAGGGTTTTAGTCAGGGTAAATGCGGTCAAAAGGCACAAATCCGAATCTTGATGCTCGCAGACTCACTCCCGAATGATGTTCGGCCCTTCTGAAACTTCCTCACTCTGCAGGGGAGTCTCCAGTCGTAGAGTTGCCTGTTCGACTTCTTTAGATCATGACACTCTAGCCTCTTAGAAAGGCCCATATTCATCCTTGGCTGCTACTTTGCAAGCATGAGCTGAATACCACGCTGGTGCACAAATCCTACTAAGGATGTGTCTAGGCCGGATACTTCGTTTAGGAAAGGCAAGTCGTCAAACCGCAAAGATGTCAAAGTTAATCTAGATCCGATGGTGGCCTTCCCAGCAACAACTGCAGAACAATTAGAGCAACAAATGTGACTCAGTGTACCGTATACTACAGATCGTTGTAGGGACTGCGAGAGGACATGGTTATTAGCTGTTCACACCCCCAGAACCCCAAATCCCAAAATTCCAGAAAAATCCTAAAACCTGAATGAACCCGAAATTCTAAATCCTAAACTCCCAAACCCAAAAATTGAAATCCTAAATCCTAAACCCAATAATCGCCAGTCTCTCTTTCGCTCTTTGGGAAACGGAGGCCGAGGCCGACCACAGGCCGCCGCACCTGGAGGAAAATGGGACATGGATTTCTTTAGGGCTGTAGGGATTTGGGAGTTGTTTTGGGGGCCTTATAATAAGGATCCTACTATTTGGGCTACTATACTAGGGTCCCCTATTTTCGGAAACCCCCAGTTAGTGGTTAAGGGTTTTAGAGACTTCGGGGATTAGGAGCTTCGGGGTTCGAACGATTTAGGTGCTTAGGGCTTTGGGCTTTGGGTCTTTAGGGCTTTCGGTCTCTTGGGTTTCGGGGCTTTAGGGCTTCAGGGCTTTCAGGCGTTAGGGATTTAGGTTTTATTGATTGAGGCTGGGCTCAGGGGTTGCGAGGTTTAGGGGTTCATGGCAGGGGCAGGCATGACATCGGCCTTTCCACCTGAACCCTAACCCGTATACTCACAGGGTCCTAAGTACGTATATACAGGATACTTGCACCAAGGGCGAATATTTATGTCGACCCGCTTGGGGTCATGCAGGGCCTGAATTCGGTCTGTGCGTCTGAATATGCCTGATGATTCGCCACCATACTATCTATCATAATTCCAGACCTACTTGTTCCGACCGCCTGTATACATACATATATACATATATATATATATATACACACATATTTTTTTACCACTTCGGCATGTCGAAACTGGAGGATGCACTCCCAACCTCGTTGCGTTGCAGCGGTCGGAAGTCGTGGGGCTTGTGGCTTACCTTGCAACATCCAACAATGACAATAGGCAACACAGGGGCCTCAGTAATCAGAGAAGAGTTTTGAGTTTTGAGGTACGTTCCGCTGCACAGATAGTAGTGGGGACTATGAGGGGATAGTGCTAGCCCAGAAGTACGCCGGTTTACGAACCCTAAACTTGGAAGAACATCGCCTCAGCGTTTGGAATGCAAGGCCTCATAAGATGATTGGGAAGAGGTCCCTTGCCCATATTCCGGCGACGAGCTGATACGGCCTGACTATGGAGGCGTTTCATTGATTGGAAGCCAAAAATTTTTTTGAGCACGGCTGGACTTGATTGTGGGTACTGCACATCCTAATTTGGATGAACCTCACCCAGCCCACAAGGCCTGAGGGAGACACACTTCCCTAACCAAGTCCCTTTAGTGACGAGGCCGGAACACAAAAGAAGCCGTGCCACCACAGGTGCTTTACCCCCGAGCTCACTGAACGACTACTGGTCTTTGGCGGCTGACTACAGCCTCTGGGAGCCTGTCTGAATCTACCTCTGGCTGCTCAGCCTAAGCTTGCAGTCCTTAACCGAAGTCGCCAGTTCTTGTTTTATCTTGCTAAGGTCAATCAGCATGTAGGACCAGCCTCGGGAAAGGAAGAACAATATAGACAACACACCACTCTCCTCTTCCTTTTATTCCTGAACGGTACCTATGCTATGATACTTGAAGGTCTAGGTCTTGGCTCTTTACACAGGATCCCAAGACGGGCGAAATCTTACTGCCGCTGAGCTGCAACATGCACACGCGTCGCAGCTTTGGGCGCCGCGGGGGCTTTCCGGGGTTCCTTCCGGGTGGTTGACTGCTCAGGGCGCCTTACGGCTTAGGGCTATGGTGAATGGATAGTCCTGCGGGAGTCGAGGTACAGCAAACACACTGCCTATGCGATCACCGGAACAGCCCCAAACCTCTGGAAGACAGTGTCTGCTAACATGAAAAGTCTCAAAGTGGACACGGTCCAATCATCCTGAAGCAGGCGCGATAGTCCTCGAAAAACCGTAGCCCGCAAGCAATACAGCAACCGTCCATATTATTGGCTCCTTGCTTTCTCAAACTCCCATACTCTCAATACGGGGCGGGTTTCACTAGCTTAGGTCCCATCAAAGTACTGCTGGACCTTGGCACACTGTGTAAATACTGAGGTAGAACAAAGATGAACAAAGTCTGTGCAATTATTAAACGGAGCGTTCAATGTTGATGTAGGGGTGTGGTGCAGGATGAAGGCGCGGTCTCCTTGCCGAGTTTAAGATGTCAAGTAAGTCCTAGGATTTGAAGTGAACCCAGGTGCCAATAGCTTTTGGGCATAGCTGATAGTGTAATCGGCAATCCGAGCCACATGGCCGGCCAAGTTTAACGCAGTGGCGATTCGTGGGGTCTGTGGTTTGCTGTCAACTACACTAACAAGAGAACCCCTATAGACCTCTTTTTGGCCTCTTCCTTGCCCTGACCTTAGAACCCTTTCGAAACCCCTCAACACCAGGAAAAGCTACCCCATTGGGCCTCCAAGTGCTGCGCCTCGGGCGGTCAAGGGGAGGTGGGGGGCGGGTGCTGAGATCGACGGGTGAAGTAGGGCCTTTCATAATTGGACCACGGTTCCGTCAATTTGGCTCCTTCCAGAGTTCTTCACCGGTCTTCAAGATTAGAAAACGTTTTTCGGGGGGTGTGATAGTAGAGTTGCGCTATAAGGATTTCAATGAGAGGATAGAACTGTGAAGAAATCACCGCTCCCAATTGGGCTGCTTCAAAAATTTCACAAGTTAGCACAGGAGCGGTAGCTGCAAGGAAGACTCTGGACTTGGTAAGGGTTTAGGATTCAGGGCTTCTAAACAGGTCCCCAAGTACCCGAAGGGTAGCTGATTCCTGCAACTTCAATCGACGAAATTCGGCTGGAAGAAGTCTTTGGAGTGTTCGGAATAGCCTGTAACCTTCGAACCCGAGAATGCCCTTGTGAAACCACGGACACCTGGCAGCACTTGCGGGTTTACGAGTAAGTCATAAATGCAGGCATAATGTCTTGTATATTCAATATTCGTCACTACGACGAGCATTGGATGGGCTGCTGGGTCTCGAGGAGGAGCTATGACCGTTGAGACTGTTTCTGTTGGTTCGAGCGACTTTTCCCTGTCAAGTATCAGCCCCCCTACTCCTGCGATAACCACGCCGTTGACAACGACTGCAACACCGACGACGGCCGCTACCAGCCAGAGTGCTCATGTTTGAGGGCGCTGACACTCCGAAACAACACTGCATGCACACGCGCACACATCCGCGCCACTACTGTTTAATGGGGAATGCACAAGCCTGGTAGTCTAGTACAACTACAGAACGAACACGGGAAGATACCACTCCGAAGTAGCCACCTTGATAATCTTTGCTCATACTGCTCAAGGCGCCAACCCCCACTTTCGAACCCGACATCGTACCACATGAAAAACGTTGCAAAACTCTACAAGACCTCGCAAGACCCTGTGAACTTACCCTACGAGGCCTTCATAACCCATCAACTCTCAACCAACAGCACACTCGGACCACACAAGCACCTGATGGAACCCTTGCCGAACCTGGAAAAAACTCTCAAACTCCGAAACCACCCCAAATCCCGAAGGAACCCACACAACCCTGTCAAGTAATCCCAAGCACCCTGTAAAGACACTCTAAACAAACATTCCAAGAACCTCGAACAAACCCTGAATCACAAAACCCTGAATCCCTATGCCAAACCCCAACATCCTAACCCCGAAACCCTAAAAGCCCTCAGACCCCCCCAAAACACTTCAAGCCTTGCGCCCTAAACCCTGAAACCCTAAACCCTGAAAGCCTTACGTCCTAAACCCTTCAATCCTAAACCATCCTAAACCCCTTCAAAGGTCCTGAACCCAACATCGTAGGTCGCCAACCCCAATAAACTCCCGGTCCCCTTGAAGCCTTGCATCCAAAATCCTTTGTTGCCACCTAAACCCTAAACCCCTAGTCCTAAACCCAAACCCTTACCCTGAACCCTATAAACCCTAAACCCTAACCCTAATCCCTAGACCCTTGTATCCCTAAGCCACCAAGCAAGAAACCTCCCAGAGTTCCACGGCTGCAGTCAGCCAGCGGGCCAAGCTGTTCAAAGCCTTCCAGCGGCAGTTGGGTTCAGGGTTTATTGGGGTTTAGGGGATAGGGTTTAGGATTTGCGGGGTTTAGGGGTTTAGGAGTTTGGGAGTTTGGGGGTTTGTGGTATTTAGGGATTGGGGTTCCGGGCTCACTGGGTTTGGGGTTTTGCATGGGCTCATGGTTTTAGGTGCAGTTGTTTGCTTTTGAGCGCCTTTATCCGCCTGCCCATACTGTACCATCCCAGACGAGCTGAAAGCAACATGGCTAGGCGAGAACTAGCAACCGACGGACTAAGCCACTAAGCGCAGCAGTTGGGTTTAGGCTTGAGGGTCAGGGTGTTTTGGGTTGCGGGCTTTAGGGCTTAATTACAAGGTTCATTGTTGCTGTGTTTACAGGGTTTTCGGTTTTGGTGCTTAAGGGTTGGTATGATGTTTGCTGCACGGGTTGCTATATACGGGGTCACTATCCAGGCTACTGTAAGGGTTGGTCTAAGATTTCGTATTCCCGCAACTGGCGGCATCTCAACCCGAAATCCTAACTGTTCCAACCAGGCTGCAGGGTGGCCCGCATCGCGATGGCTTTGTGCCATCTGCCTCAGAGTTGCTCAAGTTTAGAGATTGGGGTTGATGCTGAGGGCTCGTGTTTAAGCATTCGAGTGGAAGTTTGAGAGTAGTGAATAGTGGTTTTGGAAGCTCGTGCAGAGCTGCCGGGTGTAGGAGAATCCCTGGCTGGTGGTCCGTAAGTGTCCACAACACAAGAATTAGACAATGCTGCTCAGTCTGGTGCCAATGAACTTCTGCGCGAACTTCACCACAAATCCCAAACCCTACACGTCCCTACATCCCTGACCTGGAAGCTCAAGCCCTGAACCTTCCGAGTTCAAGGAGCACCTAACAGTCGAACACCCTGGCTCGTGAAATATGAACGAACGTTAAGCATAGAATTACACGGGACCAAATGAACTGATATCCTACTGTTTATAAAATCCATCCCTCCTTCCCGTCCCCCTCCTCCTCACTGCGAGTTCTGTTGGTAAACGGAAGCTTTGAAGCAGATCCCGGCATCGGGCACCCCGTGGCAAAGATGCTGCAGAGCAGCAAAAAGTGCCGTGCTGCGACGATGTTTTCCTGCGACACAAGGAATGTCGAGCCGCACATGCCTAATATCGACGGTATGTTCTACGATATTTACTGAAGGACTAGAAGGGGACGTTAGTAAAGCTTTCTACCAATTACACCCTCAAGCTTCAAAACTGCGAGCGACACACCCTCACCCCTATGGGTCTTGGATTCTCAGCGCCTAAACTCGGCGTGTCTCGGTGCAGGGACTAGCTACGATCGCAAGTGCAGGCCGCGCGGAAAATACTGCATACAATCGGCAAAACAGCTCATGTAGACTGTTTAAGAAATCGAGCTGCGTTTTTCGGGCTAGTTTCCGTCGAAACTCCCGCAGTCAGGGAAGGCATTAGATAGCCTCCGAGCATTCAGGGTATAGGGTATACGGCGTAGGTTTCGGGTATATAGTTGCTAGGCGCACAGATTCAGCAGCGATAGTCCAAAAAGAATACGCAAGCCAAGATGCCCAGGGACTCATGCGACACAACAACTGTCAAGCACCCCAACCCTGAACCGTAACTCGCCTGGTACGAAACTCTGACCCTAAACTTTCAACCCCAATACCCCGAAATGCGAAATCCTCCATGCTACAAGACCCCAACAGCCTAAAACCCTGAACCTTAATCGAAACAAACACCCTGAAAGAGTGAACACCCTCCTTTAAAACACTCATCCCACCTCTGGGACAGCGCCTTTAGCAGAAGCCTGGCAGGGTACCCCAGAAAACTTTCGGGGGTCTGGGATTTTAGTGAGTCCCGTTTAGGGTTTAGGAATTTTAGGGTTTGGGTTTTTGGGGGGTCACGTCGCCTGGAGCCTTAGGGGTTTGAGGGTGAGCGGTTCTCAGGCTTGCTTGCTTCTAAGACTATGGTTGGAGAACCCTTCAAGAAAACATAAGCCGTAAGTCGCAACTCCTCAGAGACAACACCGAGGTACCCAAGAGGAAACAAGCCACGAGGAGCACAGAAGTGTGCCTTACGCCGAACCCTTCATTCCGAACCCTCCTTTCCTCAACCCTGGATCGCCAAGGCCGAACCCCATACCCTTGGGTCTAGAAGCGTATACATTTCGAACTCTCGACTCAGACTCGCAGTCAGGTTCTAGGTTCGCATCAACGAGCCTGCGGGAAGCGCCGGAGAGTGTTGATGAAATGCCTCGAGGTCGGTCATTCTTCGGGCTTAGGATCTCGGGTGGGGTCAGAGTCTATAGGGCTTAGATTTATGCCTGTTGTGGGTCAGGCTTCGGCAGAACAAGCTTGAGGCGAATGAATGGGGCGCCTCGGACGACGAGGCTAAAACTCGAGCTTCCTGAGTAGCCCCTTTATAACAAGGTACCCTTGTTCCTCCTATTAGTAAGGGGACTCTAAAAAAAAAAGGGCAAAAGGGTACTACTCCGGAACCTCGGACTGGTGAGTTTGAGGGATCGACTGGAGGCGATGCTGCTTTTGCTTTCAGCTGGGAGTGTGCAGACGAGAACGCAGAGTCTTTTCTTTCGACCACTCCCGTTGATGCAGTGCAGGGCCCCTGCACCCTCTACCGCTGAGGTTTTGGAACAGCATGCGGACATATCAGACCTTGTGGCTCCTTCCGTGTGTGCTCCCGCAGGCTAGCACACAACCTTGATCAAGGGCATGTAATTTCAATAAGATCTTGGGATTATATGATGGCTTCGAGGATCGTGGTGGGGGGCTAGCGGCTAGCTTCGGAGATTGGCGAAATTAGCAGCAGCAGTTTCGCAACGGACGTATACATGTATATGCACACACACATATACATAGAAACTTTTGCCAGTGCAGAGAATGCCAGATCCCAACAGCCACGTACGAGAAGCTTGGGTTTGAAGCCTCCGTATTCCCAAACCAGCTCAACCCTAAACCCACAAACCCGTGAGCCCTTAACCCAAAAAGCACTGTACTCCAAACCCCAGTTTTGTTGTTTAATGTAATAGTAGTAGTCGTCGTGGTCGTTGACTTCGTCGCGATAGTGGCAGTAGTCGTAGTAGTTGTTGTAGTAGCAGCAGCAGCATCAGCAGCAGTAGCATGTGAGCCCCGGTATTACGGCGAGCTGCCCTGGCTTGCTCAAGACCTCCAGGGAATCTGCCCAGGGCCTGCGCCAGCGTGGCGATTTCGGGAAACTAGCTCATACTTGACGGGGTTGAGGGCTTTTTCTGATCGTGAAGGAGTATGTTCGCGCTCCAAAATACATAACGAGAATATTTGCTTTTGAGGTCTACATGACTCGTCGTTAAGAAACATCACTAGGACAAGCTGATTTCCTGTATACGAAAATGCATAAATGAATATATATATATATATATATATATATATGGTCACCCCCCCCCCCCATGACAGACCATCCCCTTTAAAACATCGCTCCCACCGGCGTGTTCGTGCTTTTTCCGGAGTATCGAGTTTGAGCCCTCCGAACGTATCCCTGGAACCACCAAAAGACTGAGACCAGAAGGCAGCACGATAAGGCGCGCGGGTGTCCTACCAAGAAAGGAATTACAGAGCACACGTGTATGGATGAGGGTTGTGCTGACACACTACATAGTAAGCACTACACAGTAATCTTACTTGAGTCATACAAAGAGCAGATTCCAGCATTTCCAAAATTTCCAAAATTCTCTCCCCTAACTTTCCAGATTTCCAAAATTTCCAAAATTTCCACAATTTCAAAAATTTCTTTTCAAAATTTCCAAAATTTCTAAAATTTCCAAAATTTCCAAAATTTCCAAAATTTCCAAAAGAGAGAATTTTGGAAATTTTGGAAATTTTGGAAATGCTGGAATCTGCTCTATATATGACTCAAGTAAGATTACTGTGTAGTGCTTTTAACACTAACGTTGACATGTATATTAATGCTTTCATTTCGAATATGCACATTACTAATTCTATTATTAACATTAATACTCCTACGCCTACCAATAGTCATATTCATATTGATATTAATGCCAATACTAACAGACACCTGCGTATATTAATGTCCGCAGATATACATACCACTATCTGAAAAGCAAATATATCAATGCATTCGTGTACTAACGTAGTATATTCGTATTTAATTTGTCATATACCCAGTTTCCAACGTGACAATATACTACTTGTTAACGTCTGATTATACTGTATTGATATGCTAACTTGCTAAGACACGAATACTGTAATATGCAAGTACACTGACACATGGCAATGGTATACTAACATATGGATATACCAAAAAAGTTGTTAGATAATATACGAATATGATAAATGAAGTAGCATACCAGGATACTCATACACTAATATGTTAATAATCGAAGATAATAGCACACCAATATACTAATGTACTCATGCACGAACGTACGCATGCATTAATATACTAAGAGCATACAAACATGCAGGTATACAAACATATTACTGTTCGAATACATTATAATGTGTTGGTATACTAAGCTGTTTATATAATCTATCAGTATACTAATATATCAAAACTAATTATAGTATTGATACGCATACTAGCACGTCCGCGAATATTACACTGATGTTAAATTCATCATTAAGACTGATTAAAACTGACATCGACATTGGCACTGGCATCAACACTAATTATCACTAAATATGCTAGTGTACTAATATACGAATACTGTAAAAGGCAAGTACACTGACATGTTCACATGCCATTATGCCAACATATTGATATACCTATAAGCTATTAGGGAAAATACGAATATAGTAAATGTAGTAATAGACCACTATAATAATATACTAATATACTACTACGTTAACATACGAATATCATGATACACCAATATACTAATGTACTCATGCACCAACGTACTAATATATTCGCGCAATCTTCAACTCTGCAAATATACTATTGTTCGAATACATTACTGTATTATTATATTAAGCTCAAAATGTACGAATCAATCAGTATATTCACATATCAAAACTATTTCTATTACTGATACTAATACCAGCACTTCTGTGAATAATAAACAGATACTAAAACCAGCATTCAGACTGATACTAATACTAACACGAGTACTATTACTGACATTGACATCGACACTGGCACTAACACCAGCACGAACATAATCACGAGTTCATATTTACTATTATTGATATGTATACTTTTATTCAATACTAATACTAATACTGATGCTAATACTAATACTAAATACCAATACCAATACTAGTACTAAAGCAATACCCATCCTAATATCAATACTACCACAAAACTATTACTCATATGAACACTGATACCAGGATTAGGACTACTACAAACAATGACAGCAGTACTAAGAATAGAACCAAGAACAATACATATTAATCCTAACACTAATACTAGTACTAATACTAGCTACTAATTCTAATACTCATACTCATACCAATACTAATGTCACCACTACTGCTGCTACTACTACTGCTACTACTACGACTACTACTACTACTACTACTACTACTACTACTACTACTACTACTAGTAGTACACATCCTTAATACTAAAACTAATACTGATACTCATACTAGTCACTAATACTAATACTAAAACTCATTCTAATACTAATACAAATACCAATACTAATGCTACCACTACTACTGCTGTGCGACAACTATTGCTAGTACGACGACTACTACTATTAACATCAATACACATACTTAATGCTAATACTAAGAGTAATACTAATTCGAATACTATTACTCATACTAAACATCCTAATATCAATACTACCACAAGACTAATACTAATGCTAACACTGATACAAGAATTAAGATCTACAAACAGTAAGTGGTACGAAGAGCAGAATTGAGATTAAGATTGGGACTAGGAGCGCTGCATGCGTGTGAAGAAATTTCCAAAAATTGCAAACCATCTAAAAGAACATTTTGGAATTGAGTTTGGGAGAAGTGTCTGTCGCCTATCCGTTGACAGATCCTGCCTGGGGACGCACGCCACCCTTCCCCTTCCCCACGACGGTCTGTCATGGGGGGGGGGGGGTGAGCATATGCATATATATATATATATATGTATAGTATGCATACACATCATGGCATAACCTCTTTATGTACATACCCGAAAGGATACCATACCACCGCAGACGGAAATTGCTCGACTCATCGAAGCTCCGACCACCCACAGGCTCCATAGTAGTTCCTTTTTGTGGTTCATATTTAGGATCCTATGAAGTAATCCCCAAAAGGAACTACTGTGGAGCCCATGGGTAAACCCGACATCATCCCCATGCCAGAAACCTAGACAAACATGTTCAAGATATCTATAGCATCCTTGACCCTACGCCTTGCAATACCTCATGCAAGCTATCCCCAAAACGCAGAAGCCCCAAACCCAAAAGCACAAAAGCCGAGCCGTAAACTTTAAAACCGCATAAATCCTCGACCCTATAAATCTTAAACCCTCAACTCCAAACTTAAACCCTCAAAACCAAAATTCCGAAAACCCTAAACCCGCAAAGCCGTCAAACCCTAGAATCCTAAAACCCTAAACCCTATGAGACCCGAATAGTAACCTTAGGGATCCCCGTAACCTTCTGGATCCCTGTAAAGGCTTGTGGGAGAAGGGAACCCTATGCTAGGGGCCAAAATGTGCTTCATTATAAGGAGTTTATATGGGTCCCCATCCTAATTTTTGCATATGTGCTTTTTTGGAACCCTAAACCCAAAACCCTGCCCTACTATAGACACCGCCTTTCAGGGTCCAGGGCGTGGATGGACAACGCAGGCGCCGTCTCCTGAGCTCCAGGGAAGGAGGCTCGGAGCTCTTAGGGTTCGGGGTTTAGGGCTTAGGGGTTTAGGGTTAGAACCCTAAAGGGAACACCTCTAAGGATGCATTAGGCCCGCAAACGCTATGAAGAGGCGAATCTTCAGAGCCATGCAATGCAAGGGCTTTTTGACACAAAGAGGCCAACACACCTCGATTGGACCATGTGTTTCAAAACAGTGTCTCCGGTGGCTCTTCGGATGTCACATGATTTCGGGAATCGGGGCCAGTGTTTAGCAACTGGGATCAAGACCCCTATTTTTCGGTTTGTGCTCGTTGGCCTGCGCCTGAAGGTTACGTGAAAACAGTTTTCATTTCGTTTGGGGCTGCGGGTTTGTGGTGGTATGTAAACTCGACAGTCGTAGCCGTCAGGAATCGCTAGGCATTGAAAACCATTCTGCTCAATTTCTTACGGGTGTCATCGATGTTGGCGATGGCGCACACTGCGGCGGTGGCGGTCGCCTGCAAAGTGAAATGCTCGACAACAGCTCGCCGTCATGCCGGTAGATAAGTTCAATGATGTTGGCTCTTGTGTTTGCTATCCTTGTTGTTACAAACTATTAGGTTGTCTGGCTTGGTCATGGTGTGAGTCACCGAAACTTTCAGAGAAAGCCGCTGTTGTAACACTATTGTGAGTACTATGTCCAGTGTTGCTATGCATGCTACAAGGATATCAATTACGTCTACTGCTATGAAAGTTTGCTACAGTCTATGTACGAATCACGAAACTAGGAGTAAAGAGCCCACATGCATGTCTACCTGAGGATAACAGCGCCAAGACACTGACGACGCACATGGCATGTTCTGACCTGAAGCTCTGAAGCCTCAAGCGCAAACACTGACAACTTCCCCCTTTGAATGTCTGCAAAGCACGTCAACAGCAGCAGGTTTCGAACACCCAGTGTCTCTTGCCAAAAGTTTGCCGCGAATAGCGCCGGAGACGACTACGTGAACAGTCTCCCTGAGAAACAAACCCAACACCAGAAGAACAACCAACACAGCCGCCCCTCAAAAACCATCCCCAAACCTTCGACGAAAGCCGCGAAGATGACATCCTTCATCGCAAGCCATCAGGGGCTGTCCTAGAATGGGGACTAGACTAGATCCGACATCCGAAAACGCTCCACCCCCTAAATGCACCAATAAAAAACAGATCGTATACTCTTGGAGTCTGCCAGGGACTTGAACTTGCTCGCCAGGTCCCCTGACCGACCCAAACGCCCCCAAAGACCCCAAACCTGAATGGATGGACCTACAGTAGAAGCCAGAAAGTTGGAATATCATTATCATAGTCCCTTTAAGGTAAATTATATAGGGGATCCTGCCATTATTCCATATTCCAACTTTCTGGAGTTCCCTGTAAGACGAGGAAACAACCTAAGCCCTCAGCCCCGAGCCGAAGGCCTCTAAGCCCTGGACACCCCAAGCCCTGCAAACCCTAAACTCACTCAAACCCCTACCCTAAAGCCTAAAGGATTTCGACTAGGGTTTTGGGAGTTCCTTACTATAATTATATAGTATAGTAACAGTACAGTATAGTAACAGTATAGTACAGTATACCCTAAACCCTAAACCCCGTACGCGCTGCTTGCCGAGCCCTCTCTTTGGCACCTCCGCTGCAGGAACGCCAGTGCCAGAGATTCGAAAGTCGAGGATCGACTTGACAGAGATGTCCTGTCTTGGAGGGATCGGAAGGGGGTTAGACTACTATAATTACCCATAAGCTCCAAAGTAGTTCCTTTTGGGGGTTACCTTATAGGATTCTATATTTGAACCCCAAACAGGAACTACTTTGGGGCCTTAGGGTAAGGGATGGTATAAGTGTAGTTTCGGGGATTAGGGTTGACTCAGAGTGAATCTCAGCACTGGGGTCCTTTCTGTTTAGGGGCGCACTAAGCCTGGGATTTGAGGCTTTCGGTGGCTTAGGGATTTGTGCGGCTTCATTTAGCTTCGCTGGCAGCGCCTAGAAGCTGGTAAGCCTGCCGCCAACAATGCGGATTCGACTCTGCAGCAGACCCCTATCTTATCCCGTGCCATGGAGAGGGAGAAGGAGGCCTTTTATAGACCTTTGTGACAGAGATTGCACCCCTATAAACACGCTGAAAGAACAAGAGCCCCGAAGCTCCCACTGCGGAATCCTAAAGTTCAAGCCCCTGCATCGTCAAGTGCACCACAACACGGATTCCTCGGGCCTGTATAGGCAAGAAAAAGGGCAAACCTACACCTCAAATCCTATACCCTGTGCGCTAAACCCTCATAAAACCCAATCCTTAGCCCTTGCGGAGCCCTTCTCGTCTAGAACTGTCAACGGAAAATTCAGAGAACCCTTGCCGATGAAATCCTGCATCCTCCACCCCCTCAAAACCCTAAACCCGAAAACCCCAAACCCCTAAACCCTCTACCCCAAACCTCTAAACCCTTAAACCCCGAACCCCAAACCCTAAAACCCTAGACCCAGAACCTCACACCCTAAAAGCCGACCTCCAAGCTCTCTCGCAGCGCCTTCTCGAGCTGAGCCGTGCGGCTCGGCCCCTCGCGGGAAAGAGGGTACTGGTTCTAAGGGTACTATGGATGTTTTGAATTGGGGGTTGGGGTTCTGGGCTTAGGGTTTAGCGCATTATGATGGGGATTTTTCCCCAAATCATAGCGGTAATTTATTCCAAAGATAGAGACCCTACATTCGACTGTAAAGGTACTTAGGAGCGTTCGGGTACGGGGGCCTGGTCGCTTGGACCAAACTGTGCTATTGGAGCTTGATCTGGGAGATGCTTGGGTAGTTTGTTGAGGCCTGACTTCATCTGGGGTTTTGTGGTACAGCGTACATCATGAAATTGGGATCTAGATAATATTGTACGAACAGTTCAAAAACCCAAAAAACCCTAACCGGATCAAGATAACATCATATATACTACATTAATAGTTCACAAACTAAAACCCCTAACCGCAGACACAGCCCTCCGATATTAGCCGGGACTCGGAGGTTTATGGTTCTCAAGCAGGGTAGAATCGGCCCCGGAATTTTCTGCTATATGGGCGTTTCTAGAGGCCTGAGGGGGATGCTGCAGTATATTGCATGATTAAGGGACTATGTAGCTTTGGGGGCTGAGGGTTGCAGGCCTGGGTTCCAGTTTAGGAGTTACCTGGACCCTAAGGAACCTACCTTTTTAGGCCTCTAATATATTTTTGAGTCTTTATATAAGTCCTTAAACAGGTAGGTTATTTGGGATTAAGGTGGGGGTTGAGGGTTTGGGGCTTAAGGGGTTTGGGGACCGACGAATGAGACTCCGTGGCACGTGCCTCCTGCGCAGGGTCTGCCGACAAGAATTCATGGAGCTGCGTCTGCCTCACCCAGTGACCCCGAATGAATGGAATAGAATCAGTCTCAAGTTGAGCCAGATTCCAATGGAATTTAGAAAGGGCTGTTTTCAGGAGGGGTCTGGCGTACAGGGATATTGGAGTTTCTGGGCTTGAGCGGCTTCTAGGTTCTACATGTGGAGGATCGGATCTGTGAGTGATGCTAGACGTCCAGCTATCGCTTGTCTACAGATACACAGATGACGAGAGACTAGACTAAAATAACAAATTCCGGTGATGTTCATTGAAGATCTGTGAGGCTTCGTGTTGCGACTCACGGAAACGCACTGTTCAGGTTTTAGGTCTGTCTGGCTCAAGATTTGCCAAGTCCCTTCGCGGCTACAGCAGGGTTAGGATTCAAGTCCTTGAACCCTTGAGCCGGAGAACAGTTTCTGAGCTTGTTGCATGTAATTCTCGAACTTTAGCAATGCCCTGCACAGAAGTCAGCTCGGTATACCTGCCCTATGGACTGGACGGACACCTTGCTTTCACCGAAGTGCTGGCAGGATTCAGGAGAACCCACAATGCTCTTCCTGAGCACGGCCTGATTCAAAGTTGCGAATGCAAAACATGACCCGCGTGCGAGAATTTACCATGAACTTGGCTTTCCGCTGACGGGGAAGCCTGAACCTAAAATCCCTCAGCCCCAATGCCTGCACCCCAATCCCTAAACCCTCAATCTTTCAAGACCATCCCCTCAACCCCAATCCCTCAACCATAATCCCCATAAACCCTAGACCTTCTAAAACCCAATCCTTAAACCCGAAGACCCCCACATGGAAACTCCCAAATCCTTCAACCCTGAAGCCCATGACACCCCTATAGTAACCTTATGGATCCCTTTCAAGGAACCCCAAAAGATCCCTTAAACGGCTGCCGCGTGATGGCCTGGTGAGTTCGAGGCTCGCCTCCAACTTGGCGATTTCCTTCTCGCCGGCTTAGGTCTTCGAGGGCTTAGGGCTTAGAGAATTTAGGGCTCAGGGCTTGGAGGGCTAAGGGTGTAGAGGGCTTCGAGGGCTTATAGGGTTTCTACGGCTTCAGGCTAGATAGGCTCCGGGCTTAGAGGGCTTACAGGGCCTGGAAGGCTAAGAGGGCTGGTTGGAGGCGTTTAGGCTTAGATAGGGTTGAGAGCTTTAGGGTGTGGAGCCTACCGGGTTGCATCCCTGCATAAACGTGGCTATATAGGGGGCTCTACGGGTGAAATTAAGAAGTTGATCGGGTTTGCGAAAGGCTTTGTGATAACTTTTACGGGGTGTGAAACGACTTCAACTATAGGGTATGTTCGCGGAATGGGCTAGGGGGTTTTTGATGAGGCTTCACAGGGTTTCTGCGCGTGCGGCTCAGGTTCTGGATCCGATTGGAAATGTATATACTGTTGTTGTCGTCATCAAGACGGTCGGAAGTTCCCGATTAGTGGGGCCTTTGTCTACAGAAAGCCTGTTAATGTCTTTCTTGTACTGACCAGCGAGTCATCACTTGGAGCTTCCTTGCATCACACGAGGCTCGTGCATGAAACCCCATACCGCGAGAAGCTCTTGGCTCACAAGATCTTGCCGCAAGCGGCTGCTTGATTCCTTTTGTCGCCACACCGAAGACCCTGCTGGCATGGAGTAATACAGGGCCGCTGTATTCTCGGGCATGAGCTAAACTAAACAGTTCCCCAAGACACCAAGCGTGCTCTAGGTTGAGGCGGGTCACTTTGGGAATGAAAGGGTGGGATAGCAGCAGGAGCAGGAGCAGTAGCAGTTGTGTTGTGCTTGTTGTTGATGATTGTCGTTGTTGTCGTTGTTGTTGCGGCTGTGGCTGTGGTAGTGGGTGGTAATTGCCGTGGCGGTGGCGATGGCAGTGGCAGGTCGTCGTCGTCATCGTCGTCGTAGTACATAATAATAGTAGTAGTAGTAGTAGTAGTAGTAGTAGTAGTAGTAGTAGTCGTAGTCGTAGTAGTAGTAGTAGTCGTAGTAGTAGTAGTAGTAGTAGTAGTAGTAGTAGTAGTAGTAGTAGTAGTAGTAGTAGTCGTAGTAGTCGTAGTAGTCGTAGTAGTCGTAGTAGTCGTAGTAGTAGTAGTAGTAGTAGTAGTAGTAGTAGTAGTAGTAGTAGTAGTAAGTAGTAGTTGCGGTAGTGGCAGTAGTCGAAGTAGTCGTATTACGTAGTAGTAGCAGTAGTAGTAGTAGGAGGAGAGGCGAGGTTGAAGAATCATCGTCATCGTGACAAGTGAATACTTGCGAGAAATACAGGAATGAACGCCCTAGTCTTAAGAAACAAAACATGCCAGCAGTCCAGCAACACCTGGAACACCTGTATCCGCATGCCCCGAAATCAACCTGTAGTGGAAGACTAGCATGTTTAGCTTGTGGAGGTACTGCACACGTCTGCATCTCCTGCGGCCAAGTCTCATCGCCATTCTTGAGGCCGTGAGCCAGCACAGGCACTTTCCTGAAGTCCAGAATGCAGAGAGAGGGCATAGGGAATTGGGATTTCGTATTTGTTTTGCGTTGGACTTCTAGGGCTAAGAAACTTTCAACAGGCGTCCCAGAAGCGACTTTGTCACTAAGCTTACATCTTGACTAATCTTCAGGCGTTGCGGTACAGTTCTACTATAAAACGCAATGTCGAACACATATCTAGAAGCTGAGACTAAAAACATAACAATGATGCCTGAAATTGGAGTATCTTGTCACGCTGTTTGCCAAGCCACAGCATATCATTCCACGCCAGAGTATGTTATGAACAGTGTTGTTGGACGGCATCATACAAAGCTCTGACAGGCACCAGCGAACATAGAAACATCTGGCACACCAAAAGGGCGGGCTATAAGCCTTAAACCTAGCCCAGCCAGGCCACAGGAACTCGGCACTGAAGCGCCTTGCGCACGCACCGACAGTTCGTCGCTTTGGGCTTCAGGTTCAATTTTCAGATGAGGCTTCAAGCTTGGAGTGTATACATGTAGGACAGGTTCGTCAGCTTGGGGTATGGGCTCTCGGCTGTAGACTTCGGCTTAGGTTTGGGGTTCAGGAACGAGGCTAGGCTGCTGAGGTCTAACACTCTCTTGGCATAGGCTCGCCGCTTACACCCTAATCCGTGAATCTTAAGCGCTGAACTCTGTAAGGAACCTCGCACAGAGACTCCACTGACTCTGAGCTCCCTTTACATCCTGTAGGGCCCAGAAACCTTGAGCAACACAGGGTCTGTCGGGTTTGATCCTGGATTTGCTTTCAGGATCACTGGTTTTATGCGTGCTGGAGGCTACTTGAACTCCGAAACCCTGAGGTGTGAACCGTCAGTTCCAAACCCACAAGGTGGTTGTCTAGCGTTTGGTCCTATACATAAGTCCTGCAAGCCTTCAATGGCATCTACATTGAATGTATGGATTGCCGGGTCTTAGAACGATGTTCAGTTCATCAGCAGTTGTAGACACCAACAAAGCTCATCCGAACTACAGCTCCAAGCAAAATTGGAGCCCAGTATGGCAAACCTAAAAGCGACAGAACTTCGGAAAATCGACAAGATCGCAGCAGTGATCCGTATTATCCAGATCCCCGCATGTGCAAACCCCAAAGCTCAAAATCCGCTCGGAAGCCGCAGTGTGTAGTCCTCGTGAAGCATTTGGAGTCCCTGGAAAATATGAACAACGAAACTCGGAAGTCCTGTCTCGGGGTTAGAGATCTAGAGGTTCTCGGGATCAAAGATTTAGCGCTATGTATGGACATCGAACCCACGGAGGGATGTTCATCCTCTAGTATAGGGGCTCGGCTTGAATAGTGTATGTAGCGTTGTGGGGGATGCTCCAGTATGAGTGCTCAGGGCTTCCATAGTAGCTGGAGCCTCGGCAGCTACGAAGTCCCAAACCTTCTTCCGGAAGTTCCCCCCCAAGCTGGCCTGGCCCGCTGCTCCCGCGCCAGCTCGGAGTCCTTGTTGCTTTAAGGTGCGGTGGCTCAGGTGGGTATCGTTGTTGTTGGTACGGAGAAATATGAAGAATTATTCTTGTTGTTGATGACAATAAAAACTGTATCAATAATAGTATTCATATGATATGTTTTGTTGGAGGGGGCGGGCGGCCTTAAGGGTTTAAGGCTACGTCTCCCTGCAGCTAAGGGTCCTCCGTGCAGCTCCCAGCAAAGCGGTCACCCAACCTGCCAGAGTTTTAGAGCTTCTAGTGCAAGGGACGTCATGCCCAGGGTAGTCCTAAGACCCGAATTCTAACCTAAACCCTAAACCCTATAAGCCCTAACAGTACACAAGCAATCCATGTCTGTCACAACTCAGATTTCAAACACCGTGACGTTTGGTACTGAGGCTCTACTTTCTAGTTTAGGGGTCTTGCTAACTGGAGTGTGATTTGCAACCAGAGTGTGATTTGTATGTTTTGTAATAATGAAAACAAGGAGCCTTGTCGAATCCGACCCCCCTATCCTCGACTCATAGGACCCTTGAGGCCCTTACGGATTCCTCCTGGCAGTCGGCTTTGCTGGGTTTGATGACGACCCCCTTGCCCTGGCTCTCGAAGGCTTCAAACGGGGTTGAAAAGTCTAGCCTTTCGCGATCCCGAAACCCAAGAAGTCCCTAACTCCCAAAACCCCAAACCCCTAAACACCCTAGAAGCCCGAAGTCCCGAACCCTAAACCCCCTTAAACTTGCGACACACTGAAATCCCCAAAACCTCAAACCACCAAACACCTCCTAAACCCCTAAATCCCCAAACCTTAAACCACTAAACACATCCTAAGCACCAAAACTCAATATAGAACTAAACACCAAAATCCCGAAGTCTTATAATAATAATAAAAATAACAATAATAATAGTAATGATAATAATAATAGTATTAATAATAATAGTAATCATGGTAATAACAATAATAACAGTAATAGTGATAATCATAATAATAATAATAGTAATAGCACTACTAAAATAATAGTAACCATAATGATAAGCCCTAAACACATCCGAAAAAACACCAAAGCCCCCAGCGCCTCCTGGCTCTTTCGAGCTCGACCTCCACTTCAATGGGCAGCGCGGTGAGGCCTTCCGCTCGGTGCGGGGTCTTGCGGGTTTAGTTTGCTGGAGTACTATGTACTGTTGGGTCTTGAGGGTGTAAAGTTTAGGCCTTTGGGTCTTAAGGGTTTAATCAAGGGTGCATTGGGACTTTCGCACGGCTCTTATCAGCACTAAGCCGCCCACGGAGTCAGGGTCTTCGGTTTGGAACTTGCGCGTTCAGGTGGATGCTCGGGCGGTTGGGGCTGATAGTGCAGTCACTAAAACCCTAATTCCTATATAGAAGCCAGTCCATATCGCCCGTGTGAAGCCAATTCCAACGCTTATAAGACCCTGGAAATCACAAGCGCTTAAACGTTGGACAAATGCTGATGGCTGGCTGGATAGGTTTTATGGTGTAGGGCTCGGGTCTCGAAGGGGATTGATGGCTTCTTTTCTGAGGGAACTGAAAACCCGAGCAAGCTTCAAGCCTGGCTTGTCTCCGCTGACCATGGCGCAAAACAGCCAGGAAGCAAGAAAGGACGGTCGTCCCTGGTATGGGGCACCGAAACCCTCTAAAACCTACACCCCTTGTTCAGTTGGAGCACTTTGGCATCTTCTTCTCCGTGGACTCTGGCCGCTGACTTTCAAACTTCGAGGCAGGTGCTGGAGGCTCTCATCCGCTCCCTCGGGTCTTCACGGCCTAGTTCCGGGGTCCAGGGCTTTTTGTTTGGGGCATTCGGCTGGGGTTTAGGCTGCCACAAAAAGCAGGTGCTGACATGGTATGAGAAAGGCTCGTGGTTGTCTTGCTCGGTATGCGGTCCATGGCCACGCCCCACTCTACCTACAACTGAAAGCGGCGCGCGCACGGGGCGTGAATTATGATCATCTTACCTTTGGTAAGTAGGGCATGGAGGAATGGGGTACAATTATAACTACTATTACTACCATTCTTCCAATCCCTACTAACCATAGGTAAGTCATGCCATGCGCGACGCCAACAGAACCTGATCATCGGTTGTACCCGCAAGCAATACCAACTCGTGCGATGCAAATCCTGGATTTATGCAGCCTACAGGGGCTATATACGGGTGACTATGAGCGCTCTCTATGAGCATTCCACTAGCGTCCCATGAGGATACAGAGCTAATTTACAGCTGCCTCCGGCAGGCAATGAGGATGAATGCTCCCAACGTAATCTAAAACTTCTATACTTAAGTCATGACAGCCTGTCGAGGATCTGCTCTCTGCTGCCAAAACAACGATCTGGCAGAAAGCATGTGTCGAATATCTGAACCCTACAACCCAACGCCCCGGATCGAACAAACGCCGTAACATGCAAGTCCCGGTCATCTAAAAGCATGTGCAACGATGAATCCCTGCCAGCGGATGCTTCAACCCGAATGTCTTGCTGCTATTGTTAGCAATAGTTGTAATAGTAGTAATATATAACGGTGATAAAAAATCAGTAGTAATTAATAGTGGTAATAGTAATCCTTGGGGCTCTGCAGGCGAGTCTAAGGTTCTGGGTGCGCGTCAGGTATGAGCGGTTTAAGGGCGAATCGAGGCCCTATACCCTTAACCCTCGAAGCCGTAGCTCTAAACGCTAGACAACCCTTATGGAAACTCTGGAAGAACTCTTCTAGATACATTGCATCGCAACTTCATAAAGCGCAATCAGAAAACCCTACCGAACCAACGGATGGAAAGATAGATGCACCGCCAGACAGATAAACAAATGGATAGGTAGACAAGTCCATGGACGTGCAGATAGACTGATAGAAGGATAGCGAAAGTGAGATCTTGTCACGCGTATTGTTCGTATTTGTAGATGCACTCTCAATTCCCCGTCTCTCCGTTCCTCCGGTCCTTTTTCCTGCCACGCACCATTCTCGGCGTTCCAACAGCAGACGTTCGCCGCTATGAAACCTGCTGCACTGCTATTCTAGAGGACTTTGAAGCGCCTCCGGCTTCGGATTGTGAAATCAGGCTCTACCCTATACAGATCCAAGTGCCTGATCATCATGCCACCCGACACTACTATGTCAGGCCAAAATAGCTTCAATCTCTATTATACCCTACAGTCTGAAACCCTAAACTCCAAACCCGAAACCCCTAAACCCTAAACCCTAAACCCTAAATCATAAGCCCGCTTGCTGCCTTGTCCTTGGGACTTTGGGGTTCTCCCATCCCGCTAGGAGCAACGGCTCGGTAAGGGTAGTTTGTTGTTTGGGTTCCTATAAGGGTTAGTAAAAGGGTTCTTGTGATAGACACTATAAGGGTTCTTTCAAGGGCTACTATATGTAGGGATGCGATCAGAGTTTGCACGTAGTTTAGGGATTGGTCCGGCATTGGTCTCTGTAAGGGTTCTTTAAAGGGTTGCAACAAGAGCTACTTTAAGACTTTCAGAGTTCTTCTCATACTCAGCATAAGGGTTCCTTTACTGTCAGGGTCTAACATCCAGTTTAAGGTTTGGTCCCTCTCAGGGTTTGCCTAAGGTTACCGTGCAGGTTAGTGTTTGGTTCCACTCAGACTTTAAAGATTAAGGGTGGTTGTCAAAATTCTGGTCCCCTTTTTGGGTACCCTAAGTATTAGGTGCCGTATTATAATCGGGACCCAAAAAGGGACCCTAATATTGACAGCCACTCCAAGATTTGCTATTAAGGGGGGGGGTTGGAGATCCAGATCTGAGGCTTCATTTACAGCTTAGGGTTTTTTTTAAAATGCAATGGCTCTTTCTCCGCACGATACAGCTTAGGGTTTGGGGTTCAGGGTTTGGGGGTTCAACTCGAATGTGTGCACCCCGAGCTGGGTCTAGGTGTGTTGGATCTGCTTGTAACTTTGGCTGATCATGTAAATACCTCTTGTGCATGTGTGTTTATTTGCTGCGTCAGACTATTGGTGTCGCGGCTAACCGGAAGCATTTGCTGGCAACCCTCGCCGATAGACTCCAAACGCCCGAAGCAGCCAACGTGCCTCAATCGTAAGCCCTAAAACCTGGACCCCTAAACCCGAAACCCTGAACCCTAAACCCCCTAAAGGCCCTAAACTGACTGAGCCCTAAAAAGCTACAGGAAGCCGCTTCTCGTGTCGCAGAGTGCTACGGTCCCTCAGAGTCCCATGGCCTCAGGCGCGTATCGGATTTGGGTTTAGGGTTTAGGGGTTTAGGGGTTTAGGGGTTTAGGCTTTAAGGTTTAGGGTTTAAGGTTTAAAGGTTTAAGGCTTAGGGTTTAAGGTTTAGGGTTTAGTTACAGTCTTCGAGATGGCTTTAAGGCTTACGTAAGCTAAAGGATTAAGTGGTCCCAAAAACCTTAGACCCTAAACAACACAATCCACAAGCTTCCCAGACTACAAAAAGAGCGTCGAGGTCCTGGGTTATCTTCTATCGGGATCGCAGAGGATGACCATGTAGACAATCGCGAATTCTTGGAGCTGTCATATGTTCTGGTTTCGGGTTTGGGGTTTAATGAGAAAATCTGATGGTGGTTCGTCCGGAACTCCATGCGCAAATCTGTCAAGGTTCTTTTTAGGTGCCTCCCTTATTACTTTAAGACCTCCGTCGTGGAGAGTCCCTTTTGTCGTCGTGCTATGTTGTGTCTATAGGGAGTAGGACCAGTAGGACCCGTGAGACCGGGAAACCCTATTCTAAATCGCACTGAACCAACCAGCAAACAAGACTGTAACCAACCCCGTAACGCCGTGAACCCCCCCAAAACCTCACAGGCCACAGAAGTGAATCGTAGCATGAGGCTTCGGGCTTCTGGGCTTCGAAGTTTGGCAGATTTCGGAGTTCAAAGATCTTTTCAAGTATGGGGTTTAGGGTTTATGGGGGGCGCTGAAGTGCTTTAGGTGGAACTTCAACACCCGGAGGCTCGCAGCGGAGTTCCGCTCAAATTGGTCAGAGAGCTACAAGCTTGGGCCAGTTCAGGTATCAGGCCCTTTAGGGTCTAGGGCTTTGCACTTGGGACGTACTCGTACTGGCAACAATATATCTGAAAGTTACAAGGTGAAGGCAACTGCGCAACATTTTCTGAAGCCCCACTAAGCCCAGTCTATATTATGCATGCATGCATGCATGCATGTATGTATGTATGTATGTATGTATGTATTTAATATTACTATAATTACTGCTAGCAGTACACTGGTGCTTCTTAGTATAGGATTTGGGGCTTACGGGTTTTGTCCAGCTTGGCTGTTTGGTGAACTCAAAATCGAATCCGTATGGTATGCTATGCGCTACAGCCAGAAGGTTCTGAGAGGGCTGTGGATTTCTTGAAGCCCTAAAGCCTTACAGCCCTAAAGCCCAAACCCTGAAGTCCTAATCAATACTGAGGAGTTCCTCGCATTGGATTTGAAGGCTTGCTCGTCCAGACTTCTAGGCTGAACGCAAAGTGCACTTGCATCAGCATCGTGTAGAAGCCTAGATAAGTGCAGCGGTTTTTTAAGCTATATAGTCTATAAATTTTAGAGGGTTTTAGCGTAAACTAGAGTCCAGCTATGGACCATGACCGCAAATTTAGACGCGTATATTCGCCAGTCTCCGCCAGTCTCAGCCCCGCAAGAAGTGAAACTGCGAACACCTGCCCTCAAACCCAAATGCCAGTGTCTCTGTGTGTGTGTGTGTCTGTGTGTGTGTGTGTATATGTGCTTATGTGTGTGTGTGTGTGTACGTGTATATTGATACTATATATTTGTATATATATATATATATATATACATTACATAAATGCTTACATACATATATAAATGTGTGCACAGACAAATATATAATTACAAATGTCTATATATATATATATATATATATATATATATATATATATATATATATATATATATATATATATATATATATATATATATATATATATATATATATATGTATTTGTGTATGCATGGAAACCACACTAACATGAAACCAAGAATATCCAGCCAGCCAGTCTTTTCCGCCGAGCTCGCGCAGGCTGCATCCTGACAGCCCCTGGAAACTCGAAACTTAAAAGGAAACAAGTATGCGTTCCCTTGATAGGCGAAGATGGCGACAGGCGTGTCCAGCATCGCACCAATATAGGGCACTTTTATAATTAGAGTAGGGTTTTGGGGACCAATTTACTATACTAAGGAACCCCACAATTTTTATAGGTAATTATTATGGCCCCCATCGTACACGGATGGTTCCCAGGACAGAAAGGAAGTCCCAAACACGAAGCTCCAAACAGCCCGCCATAAGCGTGTAGGGTTTAAGCTTTAGGGCAGTTGAGCATCCAGTGTCTACGTAGGGCTTGAGGCTGAAATGCCGAAAACCCCTAAACCAAAGGTCGTACACAGTGCAAATTCTCGAAAGCCCTTGAACAACAGACCCAGCCAACCCAATGCTTCAAACGGCAACCCTGATGACCTTCAAGTTTTAAACACATATCATGAACTACGATGGAAACATGTTTTGAAAGGTTTCTCAATATACAACTGCATGCAAGGGTTTATACCCGGATTCTGCAGAACGGCAGGTTGCGGTA